TACTCTTCTTCAGCATCACCAACCTGCGAAACAGAAATTATTACAAAAGTACTTACCTCTGTTCCCACAATGTGTGAAACAAAATTTATACAAGGTCATTTAGATATCTGGCAGCCGCTCCGCAATAATAGATGGATATATATATTATCTGGAAAAAATAAAATAAGTATAGAATGTAATAACTCTCAATTAAATGAGATAGATTTAAGTGGTAATGGAATATTGTACTTACCCCCTAGTTGTATCGCCTATTGTAAGGATACTCGCTTAATGTCTCAGGACCATTATGTAATTCAATTAAAACCAATTATTCCTATATTTAATATTCTGAATGATTCATGTTGTAATATTTTAGCTTATAATAAAATTGTTCCTAAATTACCTATTGTTAACCTTAAACATGTAGATTTAGACTCAATAGCATATGATAACCCTACTGTATTAAGAGGTTTGAACAATATCATAGAAAAACCGCATATTGTACATTATCAAAATTACTATTTTAGTTTTACTATTATAATCATGTTTGTAATAATTATTTTTGTTATATACAAAGTTTGTAAAATTGGCATACGGAAAAATATTATATTTAAACGAAAAGTTAATATAACTAATCCAAACCCTCAGTCAGAAGATGAAAATGTCCCTATACCTCCTCCTGCTCTTCGAATTGGTTAGCTTCAAAACATTATCTCAAATTCCCGTAAACTCCATTACAGTTATGTAGTTTACTCTAAATCGGGGGGCTGTTACATATATCTAATGTACCTAAAAGTGCATAGGCCACCCCTATCCCCGTCGAATGGGTGGTGCAGCCCAAAGTTGACGTGTCAGCACTTTTGCCCATGCACCAGTCCTATGTCCGGGATCCTCAGTCCGCATCCATCCTCCGTCGCGTGTACTCGTTCTAATATATTTCACGTGTGCCAATCTATACTAATATTATAAAGCTGAAGAGTTTGTTTGTTTGTTTGTTTGTTTGTTTGTTTGAACGCGCTAATCTCAGGAACTACTGGTCCGATTTGAAAAATTCTTTCAGTGTTAGATAGCCCATTTATCGAGGAAGGCTATAGGCTATATATCATCACGCTAAGACCAATAGGAGCGGAGCACCAATGAAGAATGTTTCAAAAACGGAGAAAATTTATTACTATTGAGAGACGCAGACGAAGTTGCGCGGATCAGCTAGTTAAAAATATTTAATCAAGTGATTTTTCAACATTATAATCGTTCAAGTTCTATAAGTGTTTTTTTTAAAACCTCCTCAAAATTGGCCCGCGTAACAGTGCGGTACCCCCTTATGATCCTGATGGCCAGCACTCGCTGCGGTCGTCGCAGTGTCGCGACGTTGCTGGCCTTCAGGGCCCCCGCTCATACTGGGCACCCGTAAAGGGCCATGGACCGCACAACCCCCGAGTAGACTCTCCTGCAGGAGTCATCGGGTCCCTTCATGTTGGGCAGCAGCCGCGCCAACGCACGCGCTGCCCCAACCAACTTGGGGACCAGACCTCGGAAATGATATCCGAAGTCCCTCTATATATGTTTTTGTCACCCCCTTAAAAAGTAAGGTTCTTGTAAGGTCCATGCTCCGCACACCCGTACCTGGCGGGCCGGAATGGCTCTGTACGGTGCACCGTTGGGACGGTGGCTCTGGCCCCCCACAGAAGGCGCGTCTCTTCCGCCCTCAGAGAGTATTTTCTGTTATACGCGATAAACATAATTCTATTAAATAAGCAGTTATGACGATTAATTACATCATTAGCCTTCTTTTTTATCATTTATTTAAAAATGTAGATAGTGCTTAAATAAAAAATTGTAAATTGTCTCAAATAACATAAGATAAGTTTTATGTATTACTAACAATCAATGTCACTAACAACAATTCATGGTTACTTTACTAAAATTATATTTTATTATTATTTATCGTTCGTTAATTACTTTTGTTTTGTTATTTTTTTATAATGAACTAGCTGACCCGGCAAACGTTGCCTAAAAAAGAAATTTAGGGATGGGTCACCCTTACCGTTTAGGGGTATGAAAAATAGATGTTGGCCGATTCTCAGACCTACCCGATATGCAAACAAAATTTCATGAGAATCGGTCAAGCCGTTTCGGAGGAGTACGGGAACGAACATTGTGACAAGAGAATTTTATATATAAGACAAGTTACTCGTAATTTTGATGTAATGTTTGTAAAGTCCCCCGCAACACAGGATACATTCCAAGTGCGGGAGTTGTCTTTTTTTTTAAAGATCGTATTAACAAAAGCTTAGAAGTGGAGGTCTGTCACACCCTGGAGGGAAGGCCCCACAATTCCCTGGAGGAAATTTAGTGCGCGAAATAATTTTCATAATTAAACAACATTCAGATCACACCCGCGAACGCTTGCGATATAGGTACGAAGCTACTTTTACATGGTTTGGTATTTTGTGGTGGAATTTTTTTTATGGTAGAGGGGGCAGATGAGCAGACGGGTCACCCAATGGAAAGTGACCGTCGCCGCCACTGAACGTCCGCAACTCAAGCGTCACAAACGCATTGCCCGTGTTTTAGGAAGGAGTACGTATTTAACCATGATAAAATTTAATGATAATATATATTAATATAAAATTGTAGTATTTATTGAAGTTTGTTTAAAAATTTGTTTTTTCTGTAGATACATAGTTTTCTGTTCCGCCATTTTAAAAAGCATATCATTTTTAACTAATATATTGTTTATCTACTCGTCCATGTAAACCTATTATTTATCATTTCAACTTAAAGTCAAATACAAAATGCATGGCAAAATATTTAAAAACTAATATTTCACAATGCCATCTGTCTTACAAAAGTAAAATCTGCTATAGCAAAAAACGTAATCAATTGTTATTTCAAAATAGGTGTCGTTACTTGCGTACTTATTTCTAACCCACATACAAAATGCATGGAAAAATATTTAAAAACTAATATTTCACAATGCCATCTGTCTTACAAAAGTAAAAACTGCTATAGCGAAAAACGTAATCAATTGTTAGTTTAAAATAGGTGTCGTTACTTGCGTACTTTTTTCTAACTCACATACAAATACATGGTACAGAAAGAAGACATATCGTCGTTGATACTGCAATACCGCGTAACTAACAGTGGATAATACCGCGGAAGTACAAAAGTATCAAATTTTAGATTTGGCGGTAATGAGCTAACGATGTCGATTGGCTACGGACCACGTTCACAGTTCGGCGTATAGTTCATTCAATCTGCCACCAATCACAACTAGTTAAAACCGCGAGAGCGAACCTGTCAAAAAAATTTGACCAATACCGCGTATTCTCTATTCTCATGATTATAACAAGAAGACGTTATTGTTTTTGTGTGGCTCTCCTGCAAATATAAGTTTTTTTATAGTAATACGAAGCTAATTGGTAAGTTTTTAATATTGTTTTACTTATTAGAATCTTTAAATTTACTTTTTTACATGTAAAATTGGCACTAATTGTTGTGATGGTAGTTCCGCGGTTTTGAATTTTGATGTGTTATTTACGTGTTAGCTAGTTACGCGTACCTATTTGTTGATTTTGTTTTGAAAAATTAATCGTATCGTCGTATTTTCTAAATTCTTCACGTTCCAGTAGCGGTATGTAACTATATATAATTACGTAACAATTAAATAATTGTAGGCAGATTTCAAGCGTTTCTCTTCTCTTTTATTTTAGAATATCATGGAAGAAGATTCAGGTGTTGACGAAACGTAGTATGGAGAAACGCCGACGTCAGTAGTAATATAGTCACATTACAAGAGCTTCAAAATCGACGCCAGGCACTTCTAAATAAAAGGAAACAAATTTTGGATCAAAAGCGTGCAGGTAACCCACTTATATTTCAAAAACCTGTCGAACAAATTCATTGCGCAGTTACGAATATTGAAAGCTCTATTGCTGAAGTCAGCTTCAGCCACTTTGACCACAGTTTTAGAACCCGTTCCGAGCTCATCAGGTCTTCCGGAAGTTGTTACTGAGTCACTATTGGATTTTTCGTCAGATCACTCTGACTTTAACCCTGATTATGTTCCATTATCTCAAATCACAAATGTTCAACCGATCGAGTCATTAGATCACAATATTGAATGGTTTCCTGAGAGAGATACTGAGGCAGAAGTTGGGCGACAGTCAAGATCGAGAAAAAGAAAAGCTGACAGGTTAACATGGAAAAGAGAACATAGCAGGAAAAATAGAATGTTAGGGAAAGAATATCTTGGATACAAAAAGATTGATAATAAATACCATCAAACAGAATCTAAACCTGAAAGAACCATGGGCCCTCTCTGCAATTCACAGTTTTGTGCTCGTAGCAAAGTATTGTTTTGCTCACATCTAACGCATGACAAGAGAGTGTCTATTTTTAATAAATTTTGGGGCATGTCTTGACCGCAAAAAAAATTTTTGTGTCTGCTATGGTGGATAAAACAGAGACTCAGACGAAAACCAAAGGTGCTGACTCTAGACGCTCAAGTTCCAAAGCGTATTATTTTCAAATAGAAGGCAAAAGAGAAAGAGTGTGTTTGACAACATTTATAAATACACTTGGTATAAAGGAATGGACGGTTCGCTATTGGCTTGGTGATGGAAATAGTAAAGAGAACCATACAAAAGTGAGCACGTCTTCATTAGTAATTACTAAGAGTAAGCGAGATTCTATTAAGAGCTATCTATCAGTCTTGCCTAAATTACCTTCGCATTATTGTCGCAAATCGAGTACAAAGCAATATTTGGAACCTCTAATTCAGTCTAAATCACAGCCTTACAATTTATATGTGGAATTTGCATACTCATCATCAAGACCTGTTGCTTCAAGGAAGCTTTTTTGTGACGTTTTAGCAGAAGAAAACATAGGTTTGTTCCAACCTAAAAAAGACGCTTGTGACCTTTGCTGTGCTTATAAAGTGGGCAACGTCTTAGAAGAAGATTATCAGCGTCATATTGAACTCAAGAACATAGCTCGCGAGGAAAAAAAAATAAAAAAAAATGGATAAACAAGCTGCAAAAAATGGAATCATTCACACTGTGACTGCTGATTATTTTAAAACCAAGTTAGCAGTGCATAATGTCACTGTCAACCTTGGAACAGAAGATGTCGCATGCTATTGGTTTGACGAAACTACTTGTGACTTAAAAGCCACCACCTACGCATCTTTTTTTGTGGATTACGTAACAAATCTGTTAAATGAAGATGCAAAAGATGTAGTGATATGGACTGATGGTTGCACATCCCAAAATAGAAACAGTATCGTTTCTAATGCTCTACTTAGACTAGAAATGGATACAAATATTACAATAACACATAAATACCTCGAAAGGGGATACACACAGATGGAGGTGGACTCTGTCCATTCTGTCATTGAGAGAATGCCATCGCAATTATTCGCAATACGCAACATTAACTAAACAAGCAAGAAAGAATCCCTCTCCATACAGAGTCATTCAACCGGATCATACTTTTTTCAAGGACTACGGGATTAAAGAATATCAAGTATATGACTCCATACGACCTGGCCGTACTGCTGGCGATGATTGTGTGGTGGACCTGCGAGTATTAAAATATAACCCTAGTGGGACTATTCAGTATAAAAAACATTTCAAAGATGACTTAACCCCACTGCCACGAAGACCACGAAATATCTTAACACTTACAAATAGTCCATCACTTCCATTGCTGTTTTCATCTAGAGTGCCAATATTAGAAAGCAAATATCTGCACTTACAGCAACTAAAAAACGTCATTCCTGGTGATTGTCATCAGTTTTATAATAACTTACCTTATAAGAAAAAATAATTATTCTTTTAATGTATAACTCATAAAGGCCATAATCATACGTGTTTTGGATGAATAATTTTTGGTCTTCTATTATCTCATTTATAGTTTGGCTGACTATTTTCAGCCTTTAATTATTTGATTTGTTAGCTCTTTGCTTAGTTATGTTTGTAGTAATTAATCATTATAATTAGGCTAATAGTTTATATGAGGACGTTTTAATTACGAGACTGTAAAAGCTAGTTACTACCAAAGTTAAAATCATAACACTGTGATAACTTGAGTAAATATAACTTCTTTATAATAATATAATTCTGTTTTATTCTCCCTCCTATTCCGCGTAAGTGTCAAAAAAGCTCGAATATCAAATGATATATAAAATGAAAAACAGCGTAAGTGTATTTTCTAGCTAAATATTGATTGGATTGAATCAAATAATAAGATGTAAGTTAACTAACACACATTTCTAATAGCTTATTATTATTATTATTTGATAAGTATAGCGGAAGTTATTTAGTTTTTTCGTTCTCCTGTAAAATTTGACACATCTAAGTTACGCGGTATTGTCTGTTGCTAGTTACGCGGTATTGCAGTATCAGCGACGATATGTGATATAAATGACTTTGACTAAACAGTAGCAGGATTCTTGGAAATAAAACCATAACAATGTTTATTTTTTATTACAATATAAAGTTGTAAACACATTTATGTACACAAATGCCAAACACTGTTTCGAAGCTAATCATTTTATTCTAATGTGTATGTGCTAAAATGTCAGTAGCGGAATGTTTCAAGAGTTTTAATTTATGTTATAAACATTATCTTGAAAATAATTATCAAAATTTATTCGCTGATTTCGCTGTAGCTTACTGGGTATCGTAATTTTTCATTCATAGAGCCTCGACTAATATGCCTAAAGACCTTGCTATTAGAAGTTGGAACGTGATATTGACAGTTTGTTTGACAGTTGCTATTTTTATAATAGTAATTCATTCCGATCTGAACGTTCATAATGTGCTTATATTTTTAAGTGTATTAAACATTTCACCATAACGTAAATTACACTTTATTATTCTATGTGTTTGGACATCATTTAACTAGTTTTATTATATTTAATCTAGTACAGTGACCATATTTGGAATGTGACGACGTTACAATTTTTGTAACAATAATATAATGAATATCTTCTTCGTTTTCGTGTCTTTCTTATATTTAGCTGCGATATGTCGTGCTTCTGGAACAGACATTGCGCTGGACGCAAAAGCTACCCTTTTGCACCGAATGGACAGCTTAAATCTTTTGATATACACATGTCTACTTACTCTCACTGTGCTTACTATATGGGTATTTAAACATCGTCGGGTGAGCTGGCTTCATGAAACAGGACTTGCCGTCATTTACGGTAATTTTCTAGCTATTATTTTTTAGATAATAATTACGACTTTCCATCATGTGACCAGAATAGTTAAAACCTTGGCTAAAATTCTATACAATTGTGTGTTTACCTATCAATGATTGCTTGTTTATTAGATTATCTATTAATTATTAGTGAACTATAACAATAGGTTCATAAAAGACGTAAGATCTACAAAAGTTGCATAGGCACTTAACACCCTAGACATATTTAACTGATAAACATTTTTCTATAATGGAAACAAATGTAATTATCATATGACAACTTTTTCATGAACTGATTGCATTTACTTATATAAATAAACTGAAACTGCCAATGAACAAAAATTTCACAGAACTTAGTTCACCTCATTGTGTGTTTTCAGTTGTAATGTTTATAAAACAAACTGTTGTACTTGCCCACATAACTATCACTGATGCATCTTTTAAACTTTCACAAGTTTATCATTTAACCTTGATACAACATTCTTTCCAATTATTATCAACAAATATCAATTATACAAATTGTTATCTACATCATTATGATGTAATGAAATAGTTACTATATGAAACTATACATACAAAGTGTAATATTATATTAAAACTAAACTATCACAATTTTCTGTTATCAGGTCTAATAGTAGGGGCAATAATTCGCTATGGAGGCACTACAAATCATATTACGTACATCAATGTACACCCAGCGAATGATACTGCCTATAACATGTCTGTACCACCTGACATGCTTCGTTTGCACTTTCCTGACAAAATACCCATCTCACCTGGAGGTAACGAAAGAACAATCTGCCATTTATCTGTTGCTTATAAAATCCATGAACTATAGTGTGTGATTTTTGCTGTCACTTGAACTTTATACTAGACATGCATCCTTGTAATTAATATTTATCATGCTTCTGTGCAGATGCTCCAGTACCAAACAAGACATATGCTTATAGCTTTAGGGGTGAAATAGTAAATGTTGAACAAAATGAGATAGATCTGAAAGCAACATTTGATCCTGAGATATTTTTTAATATAATTTTACCACCAATTATATTCCATGCTGGATATTGTCTCAAGAGAGTGAGTATACATTTTTAAACAATCCGAGCCGGTTTTTATTTTTTTTTAACTTCAAATTGTTACAAAGAAATCCAATTGATTGATTTGAAGAAATCCTTGATTCATTTTTATTGAAGTACAACCTAAAATTAGTTCCAATTTAATTAAAAAAAAGGTTTACCCCAAGATATAATCTCGAGTTTTGAGCCAATGAGAGTTTTTTTTGCAATATGCCTAAGTAGTACAGTATATATTACTGTGGACATTAGGCCAATACTATACAACACTCAACGCAGTAGGAAGCAGCGAGGTGACCTCTTATACCACTATGCCATCCATGCAGTCGATCTCTCAACTGTAGTCGGCCCGACTCATGAACATGTCATTTTGTTTTAATAAGGAAAATTTATTTTATACATAGTATAATTAATTGTATCATTTGAACTTGCCATATTAAGGGAAAATACAAATCTTAAATGCTATGTAACAATAGTAAAGGTTTAAACAGAGACATGTTAGGCAAACACTGTATAAAAGAACATTTGTCGATATATTCTATATAATTATAGAATATATCGACAAATGTTCTTTTATACAGTGTACACACACAAACCAACATTATGTTGATTTGTGTACACTTTAAAAAGTCCTGTACTGATTGAGCTCAAATTTTGACACAATATATAATACAACTTTCTACTACGTTTCAACTACACGTGTGTCACAGGGAAGTGTAGCAGGGTACAGCTATTCACCAGGGACTTCCTTTCTAGGGTATACCTGGTTCCCGGGCTATTAGTACCCGAGACGGCGTGCAGTTTTAGTCGGTTCGAGTCCGACATGCCACCGATAGGTGGTATCCGAGGGGATTTCCGCACGGAAAAAAAAAAAAAAAGGGTACAGCTATTATATTATATTCAAATTTTCAGAAATATTTCTTCCGCAATCTGGGTGCCATTTTGACGTTTGCAATGGTGGGTACAGCACTGTCGGCCCTGTTTATCGGTGTTGTGATGTACGGCTGCGTCCAATTGATGCCGGCATCCCTTGGATCCAGTTTTACTTTTCTAGACACCTTATACTTTGGTGCACTGATATCACCCACCGATCCCCTGACTGTGCTCGCTATATTCTCCCAACTAAAGGTAAGATAAAGTCAATAAATATTTTAGATAAAAAATAACCATAAAAATGCTATGAATTGATGATAGTGTTATTTTGTACAATCAGCAAAAGGAGACAACTAGATTCATATTTCCAAAACTCATTTACAAGGAGGCGTGTAATGTTTGCTAAATATGTTTAGCAAAATTTTGAATGTACATCGTTAACTAAATCTTAAATTTTTGATGATATAACAGTACAACATTGTATCCAAAACATCTGAATGTCTAACAGCTCTGAAAACCATAACCTTTTTTTATTGAGTGCCGACGTAATTACGTCATTTGTTTATTACTATGCTATTGCTAAGAAACACTGAAAAGATTCAAATGTCAGTACAAACATTGTCCAATCTAACTATTATCAGTTTTAAAATGTTGTTCAGCTAATTCGGAAAATCTGATATTTAGTTAACACGTATTTACAATGTTGAATTTTTGCCCATTTTAAAGTTATTAGTTGTAAGCGACTTATACCGTCACTGAATCAGTTTTGGAAATATATGTATGTGGCCATCTACTTTTCATGCTGACTATACATAGATTCTAAGTGGGTAGTGGTGGTGACGCTAGCATAGTTTATTATAACAGTTATTATTTTACAGATTACAATCTGTTGGTACATCGGTACTTATATTTCAAACTATGACTATCACAATCAATATTACTTATATTATAAATCATTTTATTCCTATAGTTAAACCGCCGTAAGCTTGGCCCTCCTGATGGTTTGCGGGACGCGGGGCGGGTGATGCGCTCGTCTATACATAACACGATGTACTAACTCGATATCTTCAGATTTATTTGTTTGAGATTTAATCTACACACGATGTAATAAAAATCGAATTTATTTCCATGTATTATAATGTCAGTGTATTGTAAGTTTTTATGATTAATTGTAAAATTTAATACTGTAAAATAATTTTAATAAAATCACCTTATCTTCATCATGTAAATTATATTCAGATACAATTTAAAAATTAAGTAAAGTAATAAATATTCTTTATTAGAACTTTAACAGTAGAACCTCTGTAAGCCGAACTTCAAGTTTTTAAATCTTTTTGTGACGCAGAGTCGGCAGATTATCCATGTTGCAAAATAATACCGTGTGTAGCAGTCTTAAGAAAAATAACACGTACAGCCATGCTGTCACGTCAGTCACTGCCGGCGGACAGCGACGCACTAGCTAATTGGTTGAATGCACCCCCGCCCCGCGTCCCCCAAACCATCAGGAGGGCCAAGCTTACGGCGGTTTAACTATAGTTTAACACATTGTGTTTAAAAATATTCAATGCGATTTAAATTCAGACGAGTCTTGTTTATTACGTCTGATATCGATGTACCTACTGCAACAGTTTTTCTCAGTCCATTTTTTCAAAAGCCCAGAAGTCCTTAATAGCATCTAACACCGTCTTACGTTTTCCGACGAGTTCTGAACTACAAAATGACTAGGTAAAAAGACCATCGCGAAATAATTAATAATAATTAAATTATAATGATCACATACATATTAGGTAGTAGTTGAAAATATTAAAATAATTCAAGCAGAGCTCAAGAAGTAATAGAACCTGTACCTACTTTTAATTGTCTTCAAATATAAAATGAAATAATAGTTACACATAATTGTTACAGGTAACATAGTATAGGTATTATTTAAATGGTGCAAATCTACTAAAAATGCGTGTTGCTTTATCAAACGCTTCAGGCCCACGGTAACGGAATTACGTATTTTTAGATAAAAGCGTGAAAACAAAAAATGGTTTTAATTTTTTTTTAATTTTTAATAATGGTATTTTAACAAAAGATGATTTAAAAAAAAAATAACATCAAAAAAAAATTACTTGAACACCTGTATCGTTATATGACGGTAAATTTAATCAAAGTTATACAAAGATTAAATCCAATCCGACTCGTCTCCGTTGTCACTGTTGAAACCGCATTTTGATTTTAAATTTGCTGATTCACGTAGTATGTTAGCATTATGAAGGCTGTTGTTGGTGAAGTGTGGTGACGTAAAAAGTAACTATTGTTTCAGGTGGATGTTAATTTATACGCTATGATATTTGGCGAGAGTGTTCTCAATGACGCCGTGGCTTTGGTACTTAGCGGGTAATTATTATTGCAACTTAAATAAATGCACGCACACACACTCATAACACATGATGAAATCTAAGGGATTGTTAAAAAATAATTATTAATAAATGTAAGATTTACCCAAAAATGTGTCGGTAAATAAGACTGTTGACTTGTAGAAGAATCAAAAAATAAAAAATGTTTCATATAGTATAGAATGTCATATCATGTGATTTATGTATGCCATTAATTCATCAACTGACTTAGTCTCTTAGCAAATCATCATCATCATCATTAGCCTATCACCGTCCACTGGTGAACGAAGGATTCCCCTTTGCCCGGTTTTGGGCACCCCTCCATCCACTGCCAGCCACTTCTAAGCAAATGTTAATTCTTACGAAATATTTCAAGGTTTGCCATAGAACTTGTCTATATGGGGAGTAAATTTATTTAAGAACTAATCCCAACTGACATACCTACATTTAATAGACGCCAAGTGTAGTATACACATATTCCGAACAATTAATTGTCTATGGATTAGACCTACGTAGAGATCGAACTGAAAATACCCGACGATCTGGTAAGTCGGTGAACCGGCCTTTTCCATCACACATATCGGAATTTTATTAGCTCTACCACAATATTTTTCGAATAGTAGTACAATTCAAATACAAAGAGTTAGCCTGATTTTTTAGATTAAAACTCCTCCATCCAAAAATAGAAGAATCTATATACGAGTATTACAAATATTAACTTATCACAATCGTTTGAATTTTTCCATTGAAGCCAAACTGGTTTGACAAGTTGGTACCCACGAACTTCACCCAATGCCAATTAGTATATTTTGTTTTTGATAATTTGACGATAGTATTAATGGAAAGTTCAGGTTTATTAGGAAATCAGTAAATGATATAATCAATAAACATTACAAGTAACATTATATTTTAGTAATATCTATGAATCGAATGTATGTAGGTGTACCAAAAATTTTGAAGGCGAGAAATGTGAATGTGAAATGAAATACTGACCTTACTTTTAAATATTGAATAGTATTGATTTATCCTCAAGATTTTTTTCTTTGTGCAAATAAATATTCTAGATAATATCAGTATGTACTTTCGTTTTCTCGAAATTCCGTAAATAACTAAAAAAATCTGATAGTAACTTAAGTCTAGCCATTAATTTGTCTAATATAATGTTATGTAAAAAATGTTCTTTTATAGTTTGTAAATATCTATAACTAAATTCAAGTCTTAAGCTTTTAAAACCAATGAACCCTTAGTTTTAGTATATAATTGTGGTCGTATTTCTTTATATTTCAGTGCTATACAAAACTACGAGTTGAGGTATTCAAAAGATGGTGGATTTAAAGTGACAGCATTTTTGGCCGCTATTGGCGATTTTATCGGAATCTTCAGCCTTTCCCTACTTATTGGTGCTCTGATGGGCTGTTTAACGGCATTGATATCCTTTTATAAATATGCGTGACTATTGCATACCTTCTAACTCATCTACAGAAGTAGTATTTTGTCTATTTACAAATTAAAATATGTTTGTGTTTTGAAACTAAAAGAGTCGAATCGTCTTAACAGCCTTTCAAACGGCGATTTGAGGAAGAATAATAATTAAACATTTTGATATTAACTAAGAATACTTTAAAACTAAAACTTGTTTACAAAATACGTCACCAACTTTAATGTAGACATATACAAATCTATTAACTTTACCGAAGTCTCAAATGTCGAATGTAGTGTGTGTCATATGTCATTTTAATGATATTATTGCAAATACAATTGAGTGCAATTGTTCATAACCGGACACATGGCTTTTTATGCTGATTTTGAAATATGAATACTTAACTATTTTTATTGCGTAAAACAAAAAACATTTCTTTTCAAAGAAAATAATGCCTGAAAAAACCTACAAATAAATAGTAAGTAATTAAATTCAAATATCCATACACAAATATTATGTATGGTAATCTAATTTTCAAAAATAAATGAGTGAGCATAGTTTCCTAAACAGCTTGTCGCTTATTTAATTGGTGAAAGATTACTTACAGATAAGTGGGTAGGTTAGGTATTTACCTACTACCCATATCAACAGCTGTGATTAGCACGTGCGGTGCCGTAGGTATACATAAAAATAGAACGTAATGATGCCTTAACAGACATGCACATGACGAAGTTCACTCACGTGCGAGAGTGGCCGTTACTCGAGTCTGCGCTTTTCGTGCTTATGTCATATGCTGCGTTTCTCATCGCCGAAGTCTGCGAACTTACAGGTATCATTTGATTGTTTCATTTTGTATAGAATAAGATTTATATTTTCTGAACAAATCGTTCAGGAAATGTGCAGTTGTGTAATTTTTGCAGGACCATGAATATAATCATAATAATAACTTGACACGTCTCACACACGGCCGTCTGATCTTATACTAGGCTGAACTTGTACTGAACTGAATCTGACAGCCGAGAGACATACCATATATATTTTTAAATAGGTACATACTCCCAGACACAGAATGAATGATGATGTGAGCATCATCACATTTATCACACACAAATTTTACAACAATTCTTTTGTCCTGAGTAGGAGTTGAACACACATACCTACTATGTGTATAAATAAAAAGTGATTCTGCTGTCGACCTTTTTTTCTTTATTTCTAAACTACTCAAATTAATATTCATACATCAATTATTTAATATAAACAGCATAAGCCATTAATAATATGGATAGTTGACTGTTGTACAGTCAAGGCAATTTAATTTACCTCTAAGGAAAATATCGCGTATTTAATAGTGACGTCATTTAGGCGGCTGTAGATATTTACTTTATAATACATATTACAGGAAATTGATCGCTTCATGTACAATCTGCTTAGCTACGATAATTCGAGGATATCGTCAACAGTATTTGTAATATTAGACTCGGCTACGTTGGCAGTCCAACCTATTAAAAAGTTAGATTTGACAGTTTCGCTGAACAGAAAAATTCTGGTTTTGACAGACATTGTTGAATATATAAGAATTTCTAATGTGAAGAGAATTCTTCTATTCGCGTTTCGTCATTTACTTCTGGTTTAAACATCGGATGCAGCGGAGCACTGATGTAAATTAAATAACATTCAACATAATGACAAAGCATATATTAAACTGCCTACTAATCGATAGTGATCTATTAATTGTTGGCAACTTAAACAGTTAACAGAAACAGATAATAAGCTAACGCCCTCAAATTAGTACCGTAACCGATTTAGCTATATATTGTAATACCTTAAAATTGCAGCTTTCCCTAAAAACATGCAAACGTTAAACGCAAATATATGTTTTCAGGAGTGGTGGCCGTGCTGTTCTGCGGTATATGTCAAGCGCATTACACATACAACAACTTGTCATCGGACTCCCGCAACCGAACAAAGCAGCTTTTCGAACTCCTCAACTTTTTAGCAGAAAACTTCATATTCACATACATAGGTGTCTCCATGTTCACCTTCCCGAAACATCACTTTGATCCATGGTTCATTATTGCTGGTTTTGTATCCTTTTAAAATTAAAAAAATATCATGAATAAGAAGTAAGATGAAAATCTTTTAGATTTTTTTAAGATGTTACTGTTTCTGTCAGTTAGAACATAACCTGCGAAGGTTACTGTAATTTATATAATCCTATCAATGCAAAATGTGGGCGTGTGCGCGTCTACTTACCGCTTCAGGGATATAATTTTTAGTCGATTTATATCTTCTACTGGCAGTCAAATCGCCAATGACATTATAATCGTTTCTCACTGAAACAATAATAGCACCAAAAAGATGCCATTAATTAAAATGAAAAATTACATACTAGAACAACAGTTAAAAATACACGATATCAATTTTTCACACTTCGGTTTTGGAAGTCGCACACGTTTTATATATATAAGGAATAAAAGCAAAAATATGTTGATATTTTCCTTAGCCGTATTGCAGGTAACGTCTACTTTAGGACGTGCAGTCAACATTTATCCATTATCGTTCCTCCTCAATCTAGGACGCAAGCCGCCTATACCAATGAATTTCCAGCACATGCTGTTTTTCTCAGGTATCGTAATCCTAAACGTTCTTTTTTAATTTTCTGGATTTATACTTGGCAGTGTAATCCGATTGGTTTCCGTAGTCTGATCTAGAACCAGAATTACATGTCGCAGTATGTGATTACACAATTGCTAGTTCTAAACTATCACTATAATTTGTATGGAGGGCCAATATAACCAAAAAGTCTTCCCTCCTGGACCAAAATCTGAGTTCGTCCATGTTCAAATATATATTAATATCAAACTGCGGATTAAATCGCACTTGTATAGAGTAAAGCCGTAATCCTGAGATCTGTTATCCTTTTAACCGTCCAGCGTTATATCAATGGATGACTGCCTCGCTGGTACAGAAGGTAGCGTATGCGACTGCTGAGCTGAGGTCTCGGGTTCGATTCCCGAGCCGGACCAAATGTTTGTATGATCTGCAAATATTTGTTTCGGGGTTTGGGTGTTTTCTATCTATAATATGTATGTATTTACGAAAAAAAAAATATAAGTATTCTATCAGTCAATCTAGCTTTCATAGTACAAAATCATTGTGTATTCATCATCATCACCATCATCAACAGCCTTTACTAGTCCACTGCTGGACATAGGCCTCTCCTTAGAAAGGAGGTTTTGGCCTACTATACCACGCTGGCCAGACGGGTTGGTGTAGGGTTTGTGTCAAGTTTTCCTCCTCTCTGCAGTGCTGTTGTCCTGCGTAGTTTGCTCCCTTAGTCGCCTCTTACGACACTCACGGGATGAATAGGGGTGGTGACACTGTATTCTTAATCCGTCACCACACGGACTTTGTGTATTGTTTGTGTATTAGATGTCCGAAAATATTTAAAAACAAATGGCTTGCCCCCAGTGCCCAGCTCACAAATCAAAAAATAAATACCTACGACAAAGAGGGTTGGGCAGTTGTGCATTACGATAATATCGATGAATACCTAATATTGCTATTTGTATTAGCTTTTATTATAAATGAATAATAAGCAACAGTTTATGATGAAACATAATTTCTACGAGTTACTACCTATACGTACCAAATTTGATAAGCTACTCAAGAATCAGTTAAAAAGAACAGAGTGTTTATTTTTAGTGGTCATAGCCCGTCGTACCCTTCTGCGAAAGTACATCGGCTAAGTAGACCATATACGTTATATAAAACACAAATTTAAGTTATTTTTTCTTGATTGTCGTCCGTGTGGTGACGGATTAAGAATATGGGGTGACACCGCCCCTATTCATCCCGTGGGAGTCGTAAGAGTCGACTAAGAGAGCAAACTACGCAAGACAACAACACTGCAAAAAGAAGGAAAACTTGAAACAAACCCTATACCAACGCATCTGGTCAGCGTGGTATAGTAGGGCAAAACCTCCTTTCTAAGGAGAGGCCTATGTCCAACAGTGGACTATTAAAGGCTGTTCATGATGATGATGATATTACTTATTAGGTATAATAAATCTAATATAATAAATAATCAAGTAATCAATTAATGATAAATACAACAAAATATGCAAAATATGTCAGCGTAGAAACAGAATATAAAATTAAAACGTAAAAAACTTATTCACAAAAACACACACAGAACTAATGGAAAATTCCATTCGGTTTGTCTTGGTTATGTAAGACTTAACAGGCGGTCGTTTTAATCCGATCCGGGCGCTGGCTATACTACCGTAAACAGACTTAGATAACATGATCTAGGAATGGGAATTCGCATCTATAGTCGGCCGTACATGAATAATTAAATAACATTATAATAATACACAGTACAATGTGCACAACACGTTATCAATTAACATTTAAAATAAAATACAGAAGTATTTAATGCCATATTTTTATTTATGCAAATTCCTTAGCTTAATAATTCTAACGTATATGTCTCGTCACTACTGTTGGATAAATACGACATGGGCGTTACAAGTCAATACGCTTTCTCATGGATAATATTAATAAATTTACCAAATTGAACTATTAATTTTCTATATGTTTCTATCTAAAGAGTCTGCATATATAACTATGTAAAAGGTTTGATAGACTAGCGTAATAAGCTTAGAAATTGAACATAAAATACAAAGCGTTTTTAGTCGTATATACGACTCAGGCGGAATGGGCCCGAAATTTTTTGACTAATAAATCCGACTTGGGCTGTTAAAATGTTAAATGAGTAGTCATTTTATTATTTAAGTGACATGCAAATGCATAATTTAAACGACCAGGACACTTGTAGTTCTTTGCACCATAGCCCGAAAGAAATAATTAAATTAACATAAATGTGAAGGCATTAGGAGAGGGCATCAAAAGCATCTAATTGCATTTATGTTTGTTTTTAGATAAACATACGAGTGTGTGTTTGTGTAACAGGTTTACGAGGTGCTATGTCATTTGCCTTGGCTATCCGTAACACGGTGTCTGAAGCGCGACAAGCTATGTTGACGACTACTTCGATGATCGTCATAGCAACGGTAGTGCTACAAGGTGGAGCTGCTACCCACGCACTTGCCTATTTCCGTATTCCTACCGGGTAAGTAATAAGTTTATACATATATAATATGGGAGAGGCCTATGTCCAGCAGTGGACTGCGATAGGCTCATGATGATGATTTATAATATATATATATATATATATATAATTCCTAGTAAAGGATATAGGAATAAGTATAGTATAGGAGTAATTATTATATATCTGGACTCAAACGATTTGGATCCAATTTTGTATTTATTACGGTGTGTTAAAAGTTTCTTACTCATCAAAATAAGTATCTTTAAAAAACTATTATACTGATGATAATTACAAAAATAATTAACAGAAGACTATGATTTGCTAGTTATTTTCTCCAAATTTACTACTTTTATCTTAAAGGCTCACTTCGACGTAGGCAGAATCATATGCAAAAACGTTTTGTCAATAAAAAACAATACAATATTATCAAAATTTGTTTGTTATTTATTCTCAGGCAAACTGGTAACGATGAGAATGACGCTTTACCATATCGGGATGTCAGAAGCGTAAGTTTTTTACATTATTATAATATTATTGCATCGAATTTAATAATTATAACCTTAACTAGTGTAGTTAGGCGTTATAACAAGGGAGGATGGCTTCGATCTGGTAGCAGTCAAACTTTAAACGTTGTACAATGTACGAGAACACAAAATATTAAAGAATGTTACACCAAAAAAAAAATTTGATTAGCCGCAGGTGGGTCCTTGCAGAGATTTTGGCCAGTTAGCCAAACTACTTTTGGCAAACTACGAGTATAATGACACTTTTTGCGCCTTTGCGTTTTTTATTTTTAAATATATTTTAAGTAACAGTATGTTTAATTGTACATTAATTTTTGTTGAATGTCATTATTGACTGATATCAGAACGCTCATCTTCACTTTTCATCTATTTTCTACTAGAAATATAAAGTTCAGTTTAAACCGACTGACAAAAATATCACTAAACTAATTCTAGTATACTATGATACAATTATCATGTGAAATAATTATAAAATGAAATACAAAATTTATAATTGATATAAATTTAATTTATATGATATATTTTTCTAGTTGAAATTAGTAAATACACCTATTGCTTATTAACAAATTGTAGTGCACAATAATTTTCGTATTGCTTTTCTTTGTATTTGTCTTAAATACACTGCTGCTTTCCTTGTGCATAATTCCGCATCACACTTCTTTCTTTAATTTACTCTCGTTTTGTATCAATAGCAAAATAGGTAAGTATGGATACTGCAGTACGAAAGACAAAAAAATTAAAATCTTAATCATGAACAGAAGTATTGACCTTCCAAATTATAGAATAGAGTACCTATTGAAGGAGATGAAATGGGTTTTATTCTACTTTCTAATGATTCTGATTTCTTCTGTAATGATGCCATTATGTACATAATGTTACTTGCTGGATTGTAATTTAACAGATTTGTAAATATATTAATACCTGCTTTTTTCCAACATTTTTTAATTTAAAGCTAGCAGTATTGTTAGTCCAACAACACACTTTCACTCGTACGTACATAGGCTTAGGAAGGTCATATCCGGCCGTTGGTGCATGTAATTAATAAAACGTTATTCACGCAGCTCTACCAGGCCACGGACTACAGCCAACCGGTACGTACATGTTACGCGCTTACGATATGATGCTTTGGACGTTCATACATCTTGTACATTTACTTTCTTCCTATCATCTATCATATAAATCTTCTTCAGTGTCCCAACTTAACATACTAACACTACACTGCGAAGGTTTATTATAGTTCCATTTTGATGTTTTGAGCACATTTTATCGAGTTTATATCTTATTCTGTACCTATGTGTTTTTACGGTTTTTAATCTACTATGAAAATGTACAGTCATAATAAAACATATCTAAGTGTAGGTATCGCAGGAATGTTAGATTGGGCGAGTGAATGTAATCTGTATTTTTTATATATTTTTCCAATTTGTGTTTTCAACATTCATAAAATGACTAAAGTATACAAGCTGTTTTATGAAAATTATCAAAAGAGTTTGACAGTCTAGAGGCAGGATGATTTATTTATTATTAATACAAGCCTAATTTACTCTCTCAATAGAAACATATTGATTTTTGCAACACTTAGAAATGTTTATCAAAGGTAAATTTAAATGAACTTTCATAGTATCTCTTTTTTTGGTGACCCTCTCTTAGGCGAAAGCTATTGTTGTGGCTCTTCAGCAATGTTCAATAAAATTTATTTATTGTCCAGCACGCTGACATAGGTTTCGGCCTACGTAACATGGACTCAACGCAATCATCCAGTTGCGACAGAGCGACAGTAAGACTAACAAATAAATGCACGCATTCCATATTACGGCACGAGTCTTATAATTATAAAACTTTACTAACTTGTTAACCCATAGCTAGCACTATGTATTGTTGCTACAAATAACCTTATTTATGTTTATAAATTATCTACATACACGGTAGAATATGCCGAACCTAACTTTTAGCTAGCATTGAATATAATATTGAATACAATTTTGGGACTTTATTGAAACCCGCATATTACAAAAGTTTCACATGTCATGAAATAATATAATATATGGATACAAAATATAATATTTAGTGTTGCATTGTGCATGATATTTTACTTTACTGCTTTCTTTGGTTTTGTTTTAATATCTAGAGAGGCCGCATGATAGTTAAGTGGGCTAAAGGAGCAAAAGAAGTGGTTATGCCTTGGGAACTAAACGGTATCGAAGTATGTAATCATTTAATAAATAATTTAAGTTTTTATTTTTTACTACTAGTTAACTACTTGCCACTCACATGCATGAAATATTTAAATACCTAATTGAAATCTTAGAATAATAACGCATAGAACGGTAGTTTCATATCAACAAACCGTCGAGTTTGAGGCAGTTCTGTATGCCTATTAAAATTTATTATCACAGCCTCGATAATTTTGTGGTACCATATGCGACTGCTGCTACCGAGTCGGACCAAATATTTGTACGATTGTAGAAATTTATTTTATTAATACTAGCGACCCTTTTTTTTTTTTCGACCCTATGTCAAGGTGTGCAATGCAAGTGAATTACATTTATACCTATGCAATAGGTTTTTTAATTTTAGAACATACATTTCAAATTGTGGTAAACGATTTTAACTTAACATTCGGTCATAATTGCGTCACCCGAAATTTAGTGTTTTTATAGTTGCTTTAGAATATGGTTTACATCAAAATATTACAATAAACGTAATATTTACTGGTAGCATGTTATGTAACAATGTTTCTTATACTTTTCCGATGTACTGACACAAAGAACAATCACAATTTGTGGATCACACAAAGTGTCGTCCATGTGGGGATCGGACCCACAGCACTCAGCGTAGTAGTAAGAGGCGTGGCAACCGCTTAAACCACTTACGCCATCCGTGCAGTCAAAACTTATCATGTGTGTTCTCGGTTTCTAGGCGTTATTATTCCAAGTGCAAAATAATAAGGTAGTTGACAATGTATAAATGTAAATTGAAGATTTCACCAAATATGTTTTTACTAAAGTATAGTTTTAATAACTCGTTTAGTCTCTAAACATTTTGCCATTGCCGTTTTACTTCTTTGAGCGTAGACCAATAATTTTAATACTTAGAAGACTTTGTCGACAACCATATTATTACAGAATGTTGATGCATGTATTTGGGGTATTATATCTATTTGTTTTGCATAAATTGAGTTCCTGTGTTAAATTCAATTATAGCAAGCATTTTAATTTATAGTAGTAATAAATAAGTTAAATAATATAATTACCAAAGAACTAATGCCAATTATGTAATAATAAATGCCAAATAAGTAGTGGACCACATTAATCCAAAGCATAGCTTTTAGTTATGTGTATTCTTTAATAGTGAGAAATGCAGACGCCATAGAAAGCCGTCAAATATATTTATAACTAAAAAAAACACTAACGCAAAACATCAGTAAATAAAAAGAGTATTAGTACATTTTCTTTACATATTATATTACAATTTGGTCTATGAATATGAAGCGCCTTTCTTTGTTGACAGTAACACTTTCTTTGATCTATCGTAATTGTTTTAATCAAAGTGTACATTTTTTGTTACATTTATTTACAAATGTTCTTAAATTATTTTACGTAATAAATCCTGTAAAATTATTAGTATTTGATTAGTATAATAAAATGCTGTTCTAACTGCAAGGCGAGTTGAGAACTCTTTATAAACAAGCACTTCAAGTTAGGGTAGACAGAGGGACGGGACCGAGACGCAACCTGAGCAGCTTGTAATGTACTTTTCTGTATACTTTATGACCGTCGTCTATCCCAACCTATTTAAATCCTATTACAACTTATATCCTAAGGAAATGCCTTACTCAAAACTTAAATAAACCTTTTGTATTATTAGGGGTGCATCAATTATACAAAAATCCATTGACGACACTAATCCATCAAAAGGGATTTTACGATGGTAGTAATATTAATATACCTATATGTGGTTAGGATACCCCGCGAGACCGTGGTGACGGAGGCAACGGTCAAAAGGCTCGTCTGGCGAGGTTATGGGGCGCGGTAGATTCCAAGCTGCTAAAGCCACTATTGACTCATGCACGGCCGCCCCTTACGGAGACTATGCCGGCATTCATGAGCCCCATTGCAAGAGTGCTGACTACGACGCATCAGTATACACAAGCTGTAAGTTTAAATCAACATATTATCACATCAAGTTACGAGTTAAAGTGGGAAAACTAATTACATATTAATATTATGTAATAATTTGAAATATTAGTTAGTTTCCATTAAATAAATAGATTAAAAAAAGTGTAGCTTTTGTGTGTACCAAAGATCTACACCTACTACATCAAAAATCATAATCTAATAAAACCGATAATTGTTTTACAGGATAACACACTCAGGCGAACAGACTCCGATTCAGACCTGTGCATCGATGAAGCACAACCAGTTCCTACAAATATTGATCCACAGGTATTCAAATTATTTAAATATATTCGTTAAATTTATTTGGTAAACGGTTTTTATAGCTTTAACGTACGTGCTCTGTAGCTCCAATTACTTCTTTATTTCTCCATATTACTTACATGTATTTAGTAATGTAATTTGATATATACCATTAGGTCTCAAAAATGTACGTATATTCAAAACCTCATCCAATTTTTTTATGCCAAGTTCAATATGACATAGGTTATAAAATATTATATAAGTATTTGATTTTCCTTAGTAAATAAATAAGTATACATTTCCGTTATTTTATATATATATATTTTTTTTTTGGTTGCAGCTGTCAATTACTGTTCGGAATGGATATGGGCATGTTTGAGCTTTGTAGCGTTAGTGATCCTCGGCTGTGATATGAAATTTGCTCTAATGGCATACATAAAACTTTGTAATTAATAGGAAATTTAATTATTGCACGCAGCAACTATGGCCTGGACTGGTGGACACAAGGATTTCTGTAGAAGGTATCACTGGCAGTAACATATAAAACATGCAAGTCATGTCCGAAAGTATAACTACCTGCTATTTGATTTTGATGTAAATGAATTAGATGCAACAATTTTGTACGTATCTTACAAGCAATTTTATATCCACACAATGTTTTCTTCTTAATATACTTAAGGCGTTAGTAATCTACCAAGTTAAATCGTATGTACGAAACTAAGTACTTATATTCGCTTGTCTTTAAAGCTTTTAAGTGTCTTATGTTCTTAGTTGCTAGAGCCAGTGTGCACTTGAAACATAAACATACTTTCATATTTAATGTCTGTTGTTGTTGTATTTAATATTATATTTAAGGAACGAATGTAAGATCTGGTAAAGGAAAACAGTGTTGGCCAAAGCATACCAAGCATTCTCCAATAAGGTAATAGTACTAGGTACTTTTGTTTATACTGGTACAGGGAAAAAAATTTGATACTAAGTTATGAAACGTCGAAAAATAGAATACATAGTTATTAATGATGGAGATTTAGATTTTGAGATTAGTTTTGATCACGGCTGTATTCATCCAGAGTGCTCTGAAAATTTCTTCGAACTACTACCAGTCGCATCTTTGCGTCGTCAAACGCGGCAAAACAAATATCCCCATCAATTGGGTAATTGACACCTCACCACTGTGCGATTTTGCAAGAAACGTTTTGTCTCGCACAACCTATCTGTGGAGCAAATTGTCGCATACGGTAGTTCCAGACCGATACGATCTCCAAACTTTCAAAAAAAGAGAGTACTCCCACCTCAAATCTGCAGGCGTCCATCAGGTGACCCATGTGCTCGTTGGTTCCTATATTGTAAAAAGACTACCAATGGAAGTCATGCAGCTTTTATTGTGCTTTTTATTTTGAAGTTTGACCGTAATATTGTTAATTTTCTTGTTGCCGGAAGCCTTAACTATCTTTCTCTACTACTACTTATGAGAATTTTTTAAAGACTAATATTATTTTGTCCTGATGATATTATTGTCTCAAGTAGATCGACTTCTGTGACTGAAAAATTAAATCTTTTTAGAAACTTTTATTAAAGGTCGAGTGCAGTATTCTCTCAAGTTTAACGCAGATTCTGACTAATGCATAACGGGCGGCCTCGAGGAATAAAGACCGCTCCATTCCTCGAGCCAATGCGATGTGCACTTATAAGGCGGTAGAAGACCGAGACACCTCTTAACCCAACTACTAGTTGAGTAATTGCTCATGGCGGCTCTTAACTGTACTCAGTCGCCTGAGTCGATCTATGCACTTAGTACCTGGCTGACCTAGGACCTTCGAAATAAATGTTCTGCTCCAAACCATCCATATGAGCTAGAATGTCACCATTGTCTGTTTTTTAGATGCCTAATATTTTTGGCCAAGACTGTATTTTGTAAACTATAAGGAACACATAAACGCAATGCAAATGATAATAAAGTTCGGGAGTCGTATACAAAGCACTTCCTATATAGACAATGTAATTTGATTTTAAAATAATTATAGACACTAAAATTATTTTTTGTACATAAAATTTCGAATACCTATTTTAATTCTATTCGTAATTCTTTTACAGTTTTAAATTTTACATGTGGCTTTATTCTTGCTTTAGAGTGCCCTTTCATAATATCAGGACTCCTGACGTGCGCCGCATATTATATATATAACACTTTCGTTGTAAAAAAAAATCTAGTCTACTATTATGTACCTACTTATGAGTGTATAATAAATATGCTCAAGTTAGAACAATTTGAATTATAAACTCTTTGGTATTCCATCTAATGGGCAGTTGTATTTTTTAACATTTACTGGTGATAAGTGAACATACCCATACTATGTGACCCGTCCAAGAGGGAAGAGTGTCTTTAAAACACCACGCTAGGTCACAGGGGCGGGAGCAGGGCTTATGTTTTTGCCACGTAGTCAATATCAATCGCTGTATTAATAAAGAAAAATTTGAGGTAAATAGATTATGATGACCTGGAAATTAGAGGAAGATTCCGTCTATGCATATATTACGGCTAGTCACGTGGAGGGGTTTAAAATTGTAGTTGTAGTAAAATGTGTAGTAATCACGACAGAAACCTTCGGTCCTCTAATAATCTTCTTCTTCGTTGTCCCCCTCACACGACCGAGTTTGTTGGCTCATCCTTTATTGTGCAGTCCATTCTTCTCTGGAATGGTCTTCCCCTCGAGGTCAGGATGGCCACCAACACTTTCTCATTCAAAACTAAAGTGAAGCAATATTTTGTAAAACAACTGGCAGAATGAACTGACGTATGATTGTCATCTACTATTATTACTGGTATTTATTTAGGTATGTATATATTTTTATGTATATACGTATGGATTCTAGTGTATGATAGGTTGATGTACGCGTATTTGATAATAATATCAAATACGCGTACATCAACCTATCATACACTAGAACCCATACTTTGAAAGTTTGTTTGTAGTTATAAAACTACAAACAAACTTTCACCAAAATGCACCTACTTCCTGTTCTCTCTGCATCACCTAAAGGTTGACTGGTAGAGAATGCCTTAGGCATTAAGTCCGCCAATGCACCAGAAGTGCATGATGTATAAATAAATAAAATTGTAAAAAATGGTTCACATAGTATGGGTAGGGTTCCTAAGTTGTACCTAGTACCCTTTGGTTGTATGTATGTATTAAGGCGAATAAAATATGATACATATGTACCTTTTGAAATATAAATGGATAATAGGGACCTTTTTCCATTGGTAAGTTGTTAGCTAGTGGGAGTATAATTGAATTATGTATTTATAAAATGCTACCCATTTACTTTGACTACAATTTAGTTTCGATTATAACTTCTCATTGTAGAATAGATTTGTTGATGGAAATCGATTTGATCACCATAATATGTAATTCTTTAAACTTATGGTATTAGTTTCCTAGTTTTCAAAAACTTTACTCCTCAAATTTTATTTCTACAATATTATTTTGTGTTAAATTATACTGCTTGGTTTAAAAAACTGAGGGCTAAGAAAATTTCTTTATGTATTAAAATGTAACTTTGAAGATTTGTTTAATTTCTTACTTATCATATCTGTATCTAATATTGATATTGAAAAGATTGTTATGGAACTTGTAAATTGTTTTGTTTTTAATTAAACAAGATACATTGACAACAATTATTTATTAGGGATATTGTCAGGAATGTGTCCTTTATTTTGTTTTTCAAGAGTCAATCGTATCTCATTAGTGACTTTAAATTTTGGACCATGTCCAGGCACTATCCAGTCAGCCATATTAGCTACTTTAGATCTGTTTTTGACTTGCTGAACTGGGTCTTCACTCCCTGCTTCTGACCATACATTTGGTTGTTCTATGTCTTCAAACTTTTCAAATAAATCACCTAAAAATAAAATATATTCATATAAATAAGAAGACTTTCATTTTGTGTTGTTTTAATCATTTACCTACCTGCAATAGCAACTACTTCAGTATCTCTTGTTTTAACAAGTACTGTTACATCAGAAAGTGTGTGTCCAGGAGTTGGTATTACTTTCACATGTTCATTTATATTAAATTCTTGACCTGTGATGATACAATTTAGTATATATTTAGTATACTTATAGAAGATACTTATCATACATTTGTTAGATCTTAATAAAAGTAACTTACCTTTATCAAATGGATGCATATAATATTGGTCTTTATATGAAATACTAAATCCTACTATGTGTTTAGCCATTCTAAAAAGATTATTATTCCCTATGTGGTCAGAATGGCCATGTGTTGATATAACATAATTAATATTTTCAGCACTAACTTTATGTGTATTCAATGCTAAAAATAAATTGACAAATTAATTTATAGAATGGCTTAAAATTAAATAAAACAACATTTATTAATTGTTCATTAACTGTTCTTTTTTTTAATGTAAACTCGCTTAAGATAAGTTTTAGGTACTCCAATTATGTTTAGGCACGAGGGATAGGATGCAATAATCACATACGTGGATAAAACTACAAGGCACATTTAGTGTTTAAATAAACAAAGGAAAGAAGAAATCATACCAGTCAGAATTTTTTCTGAATCCCAAGCAGTCATAGTGTCAACAATTATATTGTCAGCCCCCATTATTAAAGTACAGCTGCAATTTGCTGACATTTGATCTTTACCACTCATTGTTGAATAACCATCATATAACACTACAACTTCACTCATTTTCTTAAACAAGAAAAACTTATTAAAAAAAATCGTGTCCTAATTGTTTGATATTTTAGAATAACAAAAAATGTTCTGGTATAGCTAATTTGAACAACATATTCGTTTTAATAAAAATAATTATTTGTAGAAAATGTGGTAGTCACAGTAAGTAGTGGTTTATAATGTTAAATGCACAAGACACATTTGCTATATTTAGATAGCATGCAAATTTTTAAAATGACTGATAAAATTATGAAAACGAAACTACTAAAAAACATTAGATTGATGACTATTTTGTTATTACATACAAATTCAATACAATTGAAATATAAAAAAAATCATATTAAAAACATTTACTACACTAATGCATTTCTGAAGTGATAACTGAGTAGAGTACTTTAAAAAAAAACATTGATGGAGTAAAAGCACTTATACTAGCCAATTCCTTAACGCATCACAAAATTTGTGATAAGTTGCAATATTATCCAGCAACGCGTTCTAAATAACTCGCCATATAAACACAACTACAACTGAAATTTTTTAGGCGAGGTGCTGATAATTTAAAATATATTTATATTAAAACAGAGTACTTTTACGTTGTGTAATCTTGTAAGAGAATAACAAAGATAATTATAAATTAATACTTTTATTTACTCGGATAAAATCTTGACACAATCACAAATTATTTGTAAATTGAAAAAACGCACGATTTGGTGACTCGGGATCTGTTAGTTCAGTTAGTATCATCAAGACATCAAGACTCAAGTGGAATGAGATTAAGTGACATTACAGACTTGTTCGAAATCCAAAACACGTATTTTAATTAGGTACATGTTTTTTGTTGTTGTTTGTATTAAAAATATTTTGTAGGAATAAAAATAAGGATTTTATAAATCTGACATTAGTTTTCCATTTTGTTACCTAAAATAAACTAAATCATTGAAATTACGGATGCATATTTTAATTGTCTCAAGATTCTAAACGTAAGTCTCTATCCCTGTCCCTGTCTGCCTCTTCAGCTGTCGTTGCCGGTTATTTTTAGGTTAAATTCTAAAATAAATTGAAGAAAGCTGCGACGGTACTACATACTTCTCTACGTAGGTTATTTTAAAATTTCATAGCACGCTAAACATTTTCTTTATTCATGAATATTGAGCATTTGGATAATTGTTTAAGGCGTTATATATTTATGCCAGTTCATTGTATCTTCATTGTTTACTCAGGGTTATGAAACAGTAAAGTGATCTGTGTGGCCTTCAGAGCGCCAGTCTTTGAAAACCATGTCAGGCGACGTGCAGCCAAGAAAACGTAAAGATAAGAAAAGGAAGAAAGGTAATATTGACTGAATAAAATTCTAGGCTTTAAATACTTTCAAACTAAAACTTAACATTTAATTTTAATATTGTTTGCTTTACAGATGAATTAGGTGTAGAGGAACCTCGTGGCACGGCAGCCGTTTTAGGGGAAGGCGATGTGTTTATACATTCTCAATATGAACATGGGACTGGTGGACATTGGTGTGCTAAGATCATATTCTTCTCGTTACTAGCTGTTCTTGTAACTCTTATTGGTTTAATCATATTGGAAAATCGAGGACTTACTGAATGTTAGTGCAACAACTAATTTTATATCTGTAATTGAACATTGTGTCATTTTTTACTGCTACTATTGTGTACTATTACAGTGGAAGCAAATTCAGTGGAGTCCCGTTATTCTGGTGTCTTAGAGGGTTGGCTTGAGGACACTCCTGATGATGATCATCATGATGAGCACACACTTGAACTACTGAAACATCATGTAAGTTTTACATTAGATTCTATGCAGAAAGGAAAAGAAGAAATGAAGGTAAAGCTTTAATATTTAAGATTTAAAACTTGGCATTTCATTTCTTCATGTCAATGTTAGTATTGGAAAGAAATTAAAACATGCAGAGGCGATTTTTTTTTGTGTGGGATTTTATTATCATCCATTTTTTAGAAAGAGTATACTATACATTAATTAATAAAACGGACACAAAAGGCCCCAGACTCAGAACAACAGTTTGTGGATCACAGAAAGTGTTGTCACACACATTGTGATTGCGTTGATAAGAAGTGAGCAACAAAGCTGTTGATATTTTTTTTATACTGCAAAAGAGAGAGATTCACTTCATAATTTAGGCAATCATTGTTCATTGAGGCAGAAATTTAAAGAAATAAACATAATGACAGTGGCAAGTCAATATATTTAAGAAAATGTAATATATGTTCATAAAAACAAAGATAGCTTTTTGAAAAGAAGTGATGTACATGCCATAAATACCAGGAATAAAAATAAACTTGTAGTACCCGCCTAGGCTCCATAAAGATAAACAAGGCTTTTCTAGATCAATGTGTCTCATTTTATAATAAAATCCCAAATAATAATCAAGACAAGTATTAAAAACTTGGCTTGTGCTAGAGGGCCTATTACTCAATTGTGGATTACATAGAAGACAAAAATAAAAAAGGCATATTATCATAGATTTTGTATAAGTTTAATTTTATTAAAAGAGTCTTAAATTTTATGAAATAAAGATGGTTTGAGTTTGATGCAAACAATAGATAACAACCAATTTCAAAGTGTTTTGTAAATCATGTCCAAGCTCAATTGGTGCATAACTTCTTGAGTGTTGGAAGCGTACACAAACCAACTTAACATATTTTTAACGAAGCTCCTTATCGCGCGTTACACACTAACAAGACTTTTTCCGTCACTTCCGTTGGCGCGTCGACGCTCACATCTTTTTCGTATTTCATCATCAAAAAGCAAAAGGAACTTTGTTCCTACCGCGAGTCCATTGACCCCTCACGCCTTTTTTATAGAGATTTATGAAATGTATTATTTGCCATTGATTGCAACTATATAATTTATCTAATATATAATATTTAATTTATCCAAAAACAAAAAGAGTAATCGGTTATAATATAGTAACTTTGGCCATAGTTTCAATTTGCCATCCCATGGAATGTTTTTGTGCTAAATATATATGCAAAGTTCATCATGACATGCATGATTGGAGCTTGCATTACCCGCACATTTCAAATTAAATCAAATAACAAAAAACTACTCGTATTTATTTAGTGAATAAACAATAATTCTAAGTATTTTATTATTGCTATCTATGTATCAGTATAAGCAAATGTGCTCTTAAATATAAATATAATATGTATTTATTTGGATTATATAGCGATAGGTATTTACATGGTTACATATTTTATTAAACCAATCCATAGGATGATGAAGATGATCTTGATCATGGACATGATATTAGTCAAGAAGAGCAAGATGAAACATTAAATCACGATGATAGTACAAGTGGTCATGATAATGATGATGATGAAGATGAAAACGATTATGATAAGTCAAATGATCAAGAAGCTAGTAATGAAGAAAAAGAGGAAGACGATGTTGACGATCACGATGATGAAGATGACGAACAAGATGATAATGACGAACGTGGTGATGATGACGATGAACACGATGATGATGATGAAGAGCATATTGATAATAATGAAAATGAACTAGACGATGACAAAAGTGAAGAACAGCAATTACAAGAATCTGATGAGGTGTGACTTATATTTTTGTTGTTGCTTGCAATAACATCTTATTGAAATTACATTTTTGTTTCTTACAACTCACCAGGATAATGATGAGGATGAGCCTAATTTGTATAATGATGAAAGTGCCGAGGCGAATGATGATAACGACCTACAAAATATAGATGAAATGGATTCCGAAGAAGATGATGACAGTAACTTTCAAAACAATCAGGAAGATGATGAAAGTACAGAAAAACATGCTGGATATAGTCATGAAGATGAAGATGATGACGAGGTGCTGTGTGACGCTTTAGGAAGTTAAATGTTTTTATTTGATCGGCACTAACAAGTTATAGCTTTTTTTTTCTAAATTTAAAACATAATGCACAGATTTTGCAGTGCGGTACTTACTATAGAAGCTTAAGAGTGAATCGGAACAACAACCAGCTTGCAATAATGTAACAACTTAAACAGTAAATATTAGTATACATGTTTATAAACTGTCTATGTAATATGAGAATATAAAGCATCTTCCTTGTCTTCTTGTTTTCGTGATTACTGAAATTGTAATGGTTTATGAGCTGTATTTTGCGTGAAATTCATTCGTTTTGTCTAATAACAGATTGACCTAAACAACTTTAAAAACTAGTGTAAATAAGAATACCTTAAAATGCTTTACTTGTCCTAACCAACTTTTTCATCTTTTTAGTAATTAAATGCTTGTAGTAAGGTTATTTTAGCAATCTTTATAGTAGCTTATCCAAAACGTGACCCTTTTCGATCAAGTCGTATTCCTGATAAGTCACTACAAGAACAGTTCTGTGTTTAAAGTTTCATTGCTCTAAAAAGCAGTAGATAAATTCATTATGTTCTGCTAAGCTTCAATAACTTACAAACTTTATAAAACTGTTATCTACAAAAAAAATGTGACGGCAGGAACACGAAAAAAATGAAGATGAGGAAACCGATTCTGCTATAGAGGTAGAGAAGCTTGAAAATGAAGTATCTGATGAAGGCACTGAATCGGACGAACAAAGAGAGACGAACGAAGACGATAAAAGTCAAGGCGAGTCATTCTTTATTACTTGCAATTTATTTTGTCTTCTATATTCATTCCCTTCTTTTAAACATAGACAAATGCTTGCGTTGAAATACTCTTTTGTACTTCAAACTATTTTAAACAAAAACTTGGTACCAATCCCAATAGGCAATTTACCAGTCTTACTTACACGGCTTTTGAAGGAGTCGTGTTACAAACTACTAAAAAGTGTTAATTCTCAACAGAAATTTCATCTGAACTGCCTCCAGAAGACAATGCAGATGAGGTGGAAAATATAGAAGACGAAGAATTCTCAGAAGATGAAATTGATGTGCCCTTGCCCATTGTTGAACGCATTGTAGCGCCTAAAGGAAAACCTTTACCCGAGGTAATTAATTTGAAATTTCTAGGTATTTAAAACAATGATCACCTACATTGTTTACGCCAGTGAGCGTTAATATTTTGAGATCACATTATGAGCTCCCTCCGTTCTAGATGTCAAAGCTTAATATAGGCTAATGCTACAGCAACCGCAAAACAAGTTGAGTAGGCTGAAGAAATAAAAGTCAGTGTTACTTCTCAAACCTGAAGGATTGTAAAAATACAGAGGCCAAATCTTTGGCCTAGATATAAATAAATTAACAACCTCGACAAAAACTTACTGTACTGTAATTTGTGACACCGCAATATTATAGTAACTTCACTTTCGATCGGTACAGTTTTTAGGGTTCCGTACCTCAAAAGGTAAAAAAGGCACCCTTATAAGATCACTTTCTTGTCCGTCTCTCTGTGTGTCACCACCGATTTTCTCAGGAACGGGTAGACCTAGCAAGTTGAAATTTATACCAGATACTGAGGTCTATGGTCCCTATTAGGTGTATAAAAATCAAGGTCCTGAGTTTACATGATAAAAAGATTTTCGATTTTGACAAATTTCGATTTTCGCGAAAACTTGTAAGTACCAAAATTTACCTTAATTTTCAAATTTTTTATTTTTCAGAATTTTCTCTTTACTTGTGCTGTTAGACCTTGCTTTTAACCAAAATTGACAATTCTAGGTCAACCCGAAGTACCCTATAGGTTTTGGGTCGAAAACCTATATGGTAGTTCCCGTTGACCTAGAATCACGAAATTTGGCAAAAAGAAACGTCTTACAGCACAAATAAAGGAATAATTCCAAAAATAAAAGTTGAAAATTAAGAAAAATTTTGGTACTTACAAATTTTCGCGAAAATCTACGTAAAATCTGGTTAGGTACGGAACCGCGGCGCACGAGTTCGACTCTTACCTGACCGGTTTTTTCTCAGTTGCAGAGAAAAAGTAATGATTAATAAGAAGTATTATTATTATACCTCTATTAATTACCTATGTATGTACGCTATGTGTGGACTAGTATAGGCTGTTGATGATGATGATTGATGAATTACATAAAATAACATTAATATCGCGATGGGAAGCTGCAGCAATCATATTATGGTTGTAAGAATTGTATTTTCATCATCATCAACAAGCTTTAACAGTCCGCTACTGGGCATAGGAAGGAGGTTTTGAGCTTACTATACCACGCTGGCCAGACAGGTTGGTATAGCGTTAAGTTTTCCTTGGGGTGCTACTCTAGAAAACCTCCCCGTGGTGCACCCTGGAAACGCTGGCGATGGCACTGTTCTCTCCTTGTTCACTTGGAGGATTATCGGAAGCCGTTTATCGGCTCTCGGGCAAGGCCTGGTCCAGCAGGGTGGGCTTGTCTGCTGGTTGCCCTGCTGGCTCTTCGCTCTTCGGAGCATGGAGGAGGAAACCTCGGTAAAAAACCAGAACGTGGGGCCCTGTAGGGGCCAGTTTCTCCGCTGTTAGCGGTGGAGAAAGGAGGACGGGCTCGGCGTGTACTGACGCTACCACCGAGCAGGTAGGGGGACGTAGTCTCCCTGTCACCGTCGACATATCGTAATCCCGAGAAGAGCGCTGTGGTCAAGTCTCGCGGCTCTGATCGGGGGCGAGGGTCTTGGCTTAACCGCCCGGACCGCGAGGAAGAAAACCTGCTGTACGTGGCCAGGGGATGCATGGCTGATGGGTAGTTCAGTCGTAAGTGCACTCCCAGCCGGGGCACTTGCGGACCCCTCGGTTGGGCATAAACTTACGCTGGCCCGGGTATTGGGGGATCTCTGCCCGGGTCGACTTTTATTTCTCCCCCACTCGTGGGTATAACATGGACACTGAAACAGAAACAACAAAAGATAAAGGAATGAAACAAATAACGAAACAGGCAAACCAAACGGTCAACGAAGCGGTGGGAAAGAAGGAGGAGGCCAAGAAGAAGAGTGGTGGAGTAGATTTGGCGTCCACTGAAGGTGAGGTGGTGTCGAGACCGCCTATCTCGGTGGGGCTCCCAGTAGTCAGCGTTTTCGCTCCAGGTCGGTTGCTACAGCAGACGGTGGCTCCAGTGTGACGATTGACGCACTGGACGCTATGGAGGTTGAACTCCGCGACACTGGGAGCCGCAAGCGTGGACGCTCCAGAGAGGAGGGTGTTGACCCCTCGCAGGACATGCTGCCACCTAAGGGCAGCCAGCGAGGACGGTCACGGACGTCGATCGCGAGGTCGCGTGCCCCTGTCCCCGTTCCGTCGGGCTCCGCCTTCTCTGGGGCGGAGTTTTACAGACGTGTCGGAGCGGAGGGCGAAGCCGTAGCGGAGGAGGAGATTGCAGATCTCCTGCTTAAGATTCGGGAGCCGGTGGAGGGAGATGCCCCCCGGGCTCCCGTGTCTGTACAGGAGAGGGCGAGAGCGGCGGTGGACATAATTAAAAAGGTGGCCACCAAGTCCGTGAACCTTAAGGGCTCCTTTGTGAGGGCCCTTAAGGATTTCTCCTCCGCTGTGTCGGAGGTCGTGGAGGACCTGATAGGCGAGATGTCTCGCCTGCAGGCCGCCAACGAGAGGCTGACGGAGCGGGTGAACCCGGGCACAAGGCAGCAGAGTGCTCTGCCGCCCCTCACTGCCCCGTGTGTGCGGCGGCTAAAAAGCTCGCCAATCACCAGATGGGACAGGGGGGTGCAAGCCTCTCCGCGCTACTCGGCGAACGCCGGGGGCTAGCCTGTCGACCCAGGCTGCCTCCAACGTCAATCATGCGTCGACGCCGACGCCCATGGAGGAGGTTGTAGAGACGATCCAGTAATGGATCAACTCTCCAACCTCCTGGTCCAGACGAATCTCAACTACTGTGCCGCGGTGCAGGATCTCTTCCTGCAAACCATGGCACAGTGGTCGATAGGTGTAGCCGTAGTGGCGGAGCCCTATTTTGTCCCTCCCCGTCCAAACTGGATGGGTGACCGGGATGGCTCCGTGGCAGTCGTCAACTCCACGGCGGCTCATTCCCCGCCCTTATCGCTAAGAGACAAGGGTACTGGATATGTTGCCGCCGATTGGGGGGGAATCACCATTTATGGTGTATATTTCTCCCCCAACCGGAGTTTGAACGACTTTGAGGTCTTCCTTAACAACTTGGAGGCCTCGATGCGGCGACTAGTGTCTGGGCACGTCCTCGTGCTGGGGGACTTCAACGCAAAGTCTATTTCGTGGGGTTCCCCTGCGACGGACGCCAGGGGCGAAGCCGTCGAGGAGTGGGCGGCGTCGGTGGGCCTCTGTTTGCTGAACATGGGCTCCACCAACACTTGCGTGCGACAGCAGGGAGGGTCGATAGTGGACCTTTCGTTCGCTACCCCTGCACTCGCCGCACGAGTAAGGAACTGGTGTGTCCTGGAAGAGGTCGAGACGCTCTTGGATCATCTGTACATCCGATTCGAGCTCTCCCAGTCCCAGGACCACAGTAGGGGTCACGCGGCGCGGCGCCCTTCCCGCTTTCCGCGGTGGGCTGTCGCCAAGCGACAGAGGAGCCTACTAGAGGAGGCGGCCATTATTCACTCTTGGCTGTCTCCGCAGGCCCCGACCGAGGAGGTCGACATGGGGGCTGGTCGCTTCTGCGATGCGATTACGCAGATTAGCGATGCGGCCATGCCTCGCGCTCGTGGTTGTCGGCCTCCAAGGAAGGAGGTCTACTGGTGGTCCCAGGAGTTGGCGGACCTCCGTGCGGCCTGCATACGTGCCCGGAGGTCCCTCACCCGTAGTCGGCGACGTCACCGCGGGGTCGGTGACGAGGTTGACCGGCTTCATGAGGAGTACCGAGAAGCTCGGAAAACTCTGAGGCTGGCCATCTGCCGCGCCAAGGATGTTAGTAGAAAGGAGATGCTGGAGAGTCTCGAGCGTAACCCCTGGGGTCGCCTTTATCGTGCGGTGCGTCAAAAGCTCCGCACGTCGGCCCCCCCCCCCCCCCCTTACGGAGACTCTCCAGCCCAGCGCCAGTCGAGGGCCTATTCCCGCAGCGGGCGGCGCACACACCTCTGTCGATGGCTGCATCAGCTGGAGACGACGGGGGCAGCGAGGCTGATGTTCCGCTCGTCAGGGAATCGGAGTTGGGGGCGGCTGTTCTACGGATTCGAACCAAGAACACTGCCCCCGGGCCGGACGGGGTTCCAGCCCGAGTGATGACCCGAGCCCTCGACTACATGTCGGACCACCTCAGGGAGGTGTTGGACGCTAGCCTGACGTCCGGGCGCTTCCCTGAGCGCTGGAAGTCGGGAAGCTGGTCCTGCTGAAAAAGCCGGGACGGCCTGCCGATTCGGTCGCGGCCTATAGGCCTATCGTGTTGCTGGACGAGGCGGGTAAACTTTTTGAGAGGGTACTCTCTGCCCGCATCGTCCGGCACCTCTGCGCGGTTGGCCCCGATCTGTCGGACGCCCAATTCGGTTTCCGAGAGGGGCGTTCGACGATCGATGCCGTAATGCGCCTTAGGGCCGTGACCGAGGAGGCCGTGAGCTGCGGCGGAGTGGTGTTGGCGGTGTCCTTGGACATCGCCAACGTCTTCAATAGTCTGCCATTCAGCTGCATCAGGGAAGCGCTCCGCTACCACGGAGTGCCAGAGTACCTGAGGCGGCTAGTGGCAGACTATCTTGAGGAGCGAACCGTCATGTACGAGGTCCGAGATGGTGTCTTGAGACGCAGGGCCATGTCGTGCGGTGTTCCGCAGGGGTCTGTCCTAGGACCACTCCTGTGGAACATTGGATACGACTGGGCCCTACGAGGGTGTCTCCCCCCCGGGCTGGGTGTACTCTGCTACGCAGATGACACTTTAGTCACAGCCCGGGGGGCTAACCTCCAGGAGGCGGCGCGCCTGGCCGCCACAGGAGTTTCCCTGGTGTTCGGGCGCATTGAAGCGTTGGGTTTACGGGTGGCCCTGGATAAGACGGAGGCCCTACTATTCAATGGGCCCCGTCGTGGTCCATCCGCCGGCGCCTTAATCGAGGTTAGCTCGGTCCTCGTACCGGTCCGGACCCAGATGAGGTACCTGGGTCTGGTCCTTGACTGTAGGTGGCTCTTCGACGAGCACTTCCGACAGCTTGGTCCAAAGTTAGTGGACGCTGCCTCCGCCCTAGGGCGACTTTTGCCCAATTTGGGCGAGGCCCAATTTGAGCGGAGCGACGCAGCGCCGGGCCCTCACTGCAGTCATCGGAGCGGATCTCTCGCTAACGGCCGTAGCTGGCCGTGGCTCCATGGCCGGTAGCGACAGTGTTTTTACCGCGGTCGCAACCTTCTGCGAGGAGGTAATCTCGCAGAAGGAGGCGGCGGAGAAGGCCCGGGAGGACGACCTCCACTCGGACCCGATCCGCTGCCGGCGAACCGGACGGCGGAGGCGCGCTCACCTGCGCCTCATGCCGCCCTGAGTATGGCCGCGGGTGGACGGGATGGGTTTTCCCCTCCACCCGCATTAGTTTGGCCAGCCGAGAGGGGGCGGCGTCCGCGTGTGCCGGACGTCCCGTCCACGGGAAGAATAGGGGTGAAAAATGAAATAGAATCTTAATCCGTCACCACACGGACACATTTAATTTTACAAAAGTCTTTTACCAATATTTTCAATAACTGAAATCATGAAACGAAATAAAATATTCTCTAACCTATAAATTTTAACCTTTTTACATAATAATTTATTCAAACTTTTATCCAATACTTTAAGCGGAATATATAGGTAAAATATATTTAAATTAGGCAAGTACCATTTTTACCTAGCTACCTATGAATGATCGTGATCGTTTTTGTAACGGCCCTTGCACGTATTTAGTCCAGACAGACTTATAGGTATTTAGCGGTCTACCAAAGGAGTTGGCTCACTATTAGTATTTATTATTCATAATATGGTAATTTCATAAATGTTACTAAAACAAATCCCTAGTTTGAACAACCTCATCGTGGCCCACTGTATTGAATACACAAAAAACTAACGGTCAATATGTATGACTTCTGCCTTCAATGAGGAAGGCTTATTCTTCTCTTAGATGAGTAGCAAAAGTAATTGCCATCCAAAGAAACGGGAAGAAAATAATATAAATAACTATTTTCCCGCTTACTAAAGATTGGTTATGAACTTCAGGTGGAAGATGAACCCACGACCGCCAAGCCCGCAGACACACTGGCTGACGAGGAGGAATACGAAAAACAGCAAGAAGAGCTTCGGAGGGAACAAGCCCAAGCTTCCCACGGTAAGTGAAATCCTTAACAACTAGCACGCTTATCATTAAATAGCTTGCCTTGCTTAATTGTTTCCAACGGTCCGACCGATCGGTGTAAATCTCTAATCCTCCAACGAAGCATACGGAACATATCTCGCTTTCTATATTATTAACGGTACTGGCTTACAAAGATTATGATTATATTCTACAAAACTGTTTCATAAAACTGTGTATTAATAAATGTTGTTTAAATGTTGTTTAACTTCTTTTATTTCAACCCATTCGCTTTAGATGTGCTATGTTTTTAGTTATGTTTAGCGTATGCTTTCTCTATAGTAATTACTTGATATTTTGTTTCTGTTACATCTGGTATGAGCTATAACAAGTATTTCTTAAATTGCAATGTAACTTTTCTTACTTAGCATAGCCTCGTATTTCTACTTTTGTTTATTTAGGTATAACAATAATGTAGAAAAATGATGCCATCACAACTATACAATTCCACTATACTTTAAACTATTTTAATACGTTCTAGACATGTGTATTTTGGCTTTTCATCTGTGGAACAAACTTCGTATATCTTGAAAATATTTACAAACTTATCCTGCTGTACTGGCGAGGCTTAATATAATGCAACACACGCATATTCTTGCTGTTGGCTCATCTTAAAGCTATCTAAAGTTAAGACAGGTGTACCTTATATATTGGGCCTTTTGCATCGTATCGGGCTAAGAAGTGTTATAAAGGGTATGCCGCGTGTGTTGCAGTGTGGCTGAAGCTGGCGGTGGGTGGGGCGCTGCTCGTCGCCACACACGCGGTCGTGAGCCGCGCCGTTGCCCCGCGTGGTGCGTACACTACTCGCATGGTCCACTATCCAACCTCACCTCCATCAAATCGAATTAAACTACATTTCAGTAGCTGGTTACATCGACTTACTATATACGCAAAGTGAGATAATTTAATTTGTCACCAGCCTGGGGCTCCTTAATATTAATTTAATAGTTTTTGTCGGGACAAGATTGACAATATCGTTGAATATGTTGGAAACTAGGAAAAATAATTAATGTAAAAACTGACCGTTATCACATCACTATTGCTGTTACTGGTCTGAGTTTTAACAATTATCAATAAAGGCTGTATTTACATTAACAGCTATCAAATAACATTGAACGTAAAAGAGTTTTTTTTAAATAGGACCGATTTTGAATTCCAAATACTTAGTGAAATGTCATATATAATACATTTTTAGGGAACCCTGATGGTAAACGATTACTGGTGCCAGTAAATACTCATATGAAACAGTAACCAACCAAATCCTCTTCAGTTTGAGCTCAGTTGATGCGTGTGTCCTCGTCAACATTTTCTTTGTTGACGGGGTGGAAAATCCCTTCTCGGGGACTCAGGAGCCAGGAGTATGTGGTGATTCCACTAAAAACCACCCGACGTCCGGCCTCTGGTGCTCTACTTTGGGAGGACCCGGACCATGTTATTTCAGGTCCTCCCCGAATTGACACCATGCCCACTCAGGCTCTACCCCAGGGGAAATACACTTGCCTCCCTCAATCGCGACGTGGCGGTCCAATTGCGCCTTAATGCAATCCGGCCGCCATCCTATCTCCTACCGCAGCATTCAATCTGCCACCAGAGGTCCCCAGTGTCCTCATCAACCTAAAGGAAAGTCGTAATCAAAGATGACTACTGTCATCATATTAGTATATTAGTACTGTATGACCGCAGATTTCTGTAAGAGGTATTACATCAGTCGGAAGGTTTTAATTTAACTTAATATTCAAAAGTCGTTGATTTTTAATTTAACCTTCATACTCCTAACATCTCGTATCACTTAAACATGAAATTTTAGAACCAGTATCTATTAGAAACATTTTATTGATTCGCTTGTACCAAAACATGTCCATTGCGTGTATTGTGATACCAGTACTTGTCCCGTACGAAGTTATGCAAATAAAATATTCGTAGCTAGTTTTCACCATGGAAGAGCCATTTTTCGACACAAATGGGCCGGCTCGGACGGCCTGATACCACGGCCTCGCAGAAAAACCGGTGTTTTCATTGCGTTTCAGCAAGTAAGTGAAGTTACCGGAGTCCAAACTCCCCCTCTCCCTGGTTCTGGTGAGGGGGGTTAAGAGGCGGCAAGACATGAGCTCTAGGTGTCTGGGCGTCGGTAGTCACTTACCATCAAGTGACCCGTCTACTCGTTTGCCCTCTTATACCATAAAAAGGTCTGCTGGTTAGCTACCCACCCTCTTTATAAGATTTAAAAAAATTATAAAACGTTTTAATGATGTGACCTATACAATACATGTACTATAAACTTTCATTTCTTTCTTTAACAATGTTACTTGTCCTCAAATATTAAACTTAATCTTTAGCATGCCTCTTTGTGCTGTGATGGAGCTGTGCAGTTAAATAATTGGCAAAATCGGGATTGTAGTATAAAGTTCATCATCGTCAATCGGTTATTGGTTGAGCACTGAAAAATAACTAATTTTCATAACAGATGCGACACCAGCAAGTGAAGGTCACGCTGTTAGGGAGAACACACCTGTTTTGATCGACCGTAGACTGACTCTCATAGCTGAAGGAGCGCCTGCAAATGGTAGGCAATATTTTTGTAAAAAAAGATATTGCGTATAAAATTTCTCAAAAAACTAAACTTATTGTTTTACGTGCTTTAGCTAGTCCAAATGAAGTGGTAGCAGAAATTGCAACGCCCGTAATCGATTTAAAATATTCTTCACAAGACAAATCTGTGATACCTCCTAGTAAAGAAGAAAGCGAAGAGGATGTTGAAGAAGAAGAAGAAATAATTGACAAAAAGGTAAGATTGCAATAGCATTCGGATCTTTTTTATTCACACAAACATACTTATAATATTAGAAAATAATTCACAGGATATCACCAAAAATAAGGAAATGTTTAGTGATGATGAAGACGAAGATGAGTTAGAGGAGGAAGAAGTTAACGTACAACAAAGAGAGACACCTAAACAAGCGCCACCCGTTTCAGAAAAAGTATTTGATCCTGAACCTGAAGAGGCAGAGGTTGAAGAAGATGTTCCTGATGATGTAGAAATAATTGATGATGAACATTCGGAAGAAGAACTGGAGGAAGAAGAAAACGATGAAGAGGAAATATCCGATGTAGATGACGCAGAACTTTTAACTCGACTGGAGGCTAAATACGGAAGGCTTCCTGACCCGGAAGGGACACAAAAACATAGTAAACACGATTGTATGAGTGTAACCGCTTGCTCGTGTAATATCACTGTTGGCTTCATCATACACCTAACTAATTAACGTTCCCTGGCATGATTAACGCTACCGTGAGTGTATGAATTATTTTTTTTACTAATTTGCACACCTATGTTTTACACATCTACATTTTATTAGATTAGACATAGTCAATTTGTTAATATAATAAGGCGGCTTTTGTAAATCTATGAACATATATTTTTATTAATAAGTGTGCTTAGTTTTAATCACACTTGTTGCACTGATGATTAAATTATTGGTTTTAGTCACTGCGATTACACCTTTGATTGTGATTTGGTCATAGATAACGTTAAGCCATCAAAATCACAGGTACACACTTGTGATTTTATTGCATCCCTAATGGCTTACCACAAAAAATATAAAGAGATAAGAAAGAAAAAAGTTTCAAATACATAAAGACAAAAAGTCTAAACCTATGAACCGAATCATTGATTAATAAATAGTGTTGATAGTCTTTTAATACCATATTCAGATTAAAGTTATTTTAAACTGATCTTCTTAAAATAGTTTGTTTATCAGTAAATTAAACAGATAACGAAACGAACAAGAGTAACGCCAGATCGTAACATCGTCATTGGTTTTGCTTCTAGGGACAGAGGTCCCACATCTCGTGACAGTCAATGTTACCTGAGTGTGCGTAGCATCAGCATTCATGTAAAATATTCCTTTAAAATATACATGGGTCCAACAAAATCATTGATCTAACATAATTACAGTATTTACGGTTAATAGAAATGCTTTGCATAATTTCAGAGGACGGCGGTAACAGTATAGAGGAAGATTGGCCTGGGGACCCTAGAGATAAGTACTGGCGACAACAGCTCGATGAAGCTGAAGAGGAGTTACGCCAGGTAAATAATTATGTAATCAAACAATATTTAAGAATATTCGTACCCCGAGTGCTTTTTTGAACACTAAGCATAAAGTAATCCGATAATTATTATTAATTAAGTCGATATTTCTATTTTAATATGATTTTTTTCGATCAAAACCAAATTAGATTAACTTGAAGAAATAAGTTGTTGGTATATTCTCTCTTGCTTTTTAATTTTGGTAACTTTGATGTGTCCATTGGAATACATGTAAAAATTATATTATAAAATACAATAATTATTCTATACAGTACCCAAGTCAATTAGCTTGATTTTCAAAAAGATATAAGAATGAATGAAAACATTATACTTACGCAACTAAAGTATTTAAACTAAAACAATTCTGACCGTGTGGTGACGTAGCAAGAATACGGAGTGCCACCACCCGTAATTATACCGTGGGTGTCGTAAGAGCTGACTAAGGGAGCAAACTACGCAGGACAACAGCACTGCAAAGAGAAGGAAAACTTGAAACAAATTCTATACCAACCCGTCTAGCCAGCGTGGTGAGGTAGGCCAAAAGCTCCTTGCTAAGGAGAAGCATATGTCCAGCATTGGAATACTAAAGGCTGTTGATGATTGATGAATACTTACCTATTAAGTAAATTCCTCTGCCTTCTGGCATATAAAGTAATTTATGTTGTACAATGTTTTGTATTATTATGAACACTGATTGTGCTAATCACATAAATACTAAATTAGTATTATTAATATAATTCATTTTCTTACATAGATTTTGGAATAAACTCTTTTAGTTCTTAACTCACATACTCTATATCAAAACTATTAAAAAAAAATAGTAAATAGATTGCTTAAAATTTTTCGTAAGTACATTATGTATACATACCTCACACGGCATTCGTTCCTATATATGCCATATGACACGCACGTTCTGACATGTCTGACAGAACTACAAAAAGTAAAACTGAGTTCTCTAATGTTGCACGCGGAGGATGTATTTTTATGGCATGGTCAACTACTAAAAGCTTACAGCTTAGCTAACATGCAGCTATCTAATACTCACAAGAATATACCAACATCTGACCGAATCGATATGCTAGATGCACCTACTCTGGTCTCAGAATACGTATCTTATAAATGTATGAAATCGATTTTCAGGACTGGCTAGACTAACTTATTTTTTTATTTCGCAATATATACTCGCATGCATCCATACTTTGCTCGTTGTGCCATTTTTTTGGACTCCTCGGTGGAGTGACTAGGCCGAGATCCACGCCCGCACCCCGCGCGGGTCTCTCCCGCCCCTCCCCCGACGACTCTTCTCCTACCCCCTAGAATAGGGGCGGAATATCGTCCTCATTCATCTACTACTAACTGTGCGGTAGTATATGGATATGCACGGTGTCCGCTCGTGTGTGTGAGTGTGTGTGTACTAACGTGCCGAGGGCGCGTGGAGCGCGGCGCTGGGTCGCGCGGCGGCCGAGCAGCTGCGCGGCAGCGGGCGCGCGCGCTGGCTGGTCGCGCGAGCGCTCGACGCGCAAGCCGAGGCGCAGCGTGACAACCGCCTTCTGTCGCGCGCCATCGCCGCCTACCTTGATGTGCTCAAACTGAACGAGCGACTCACCGATGCCCGGCTGCTACAAATTGCTGGTCGAACTCTAGACAGAATACGATTCAGAGGTGAGTGCACTTTTACTGTAATAGTACGGATTCTTACGGTGACACGGACCATTTTGACAGTATGTACATATTTTTTTTGCCAGGCAATTACTTGAGTGCGGAGCCCGTCTACAGGTTGTTGATTCGCCGATTTCCTGATGTTGTAGATTATAGAAATAACTTGACCGTATCCTTACTTATGGCGAACAGGTAATTATGTAAATTTGTTAAGCAATAAAGGTTGTTTCGAGTGTTGTAGCAATCCTTAGTAATTTAAAAGGTAACCGTAGTCGTCTCCCACCTGGAGACGACTACGGTTACCTTTTAAATTCATCTATCCTAATATGCATAGAAGTAAGTTATACATTTTAAAAAACATGGTCACGTTAACTTCTTGAAACATAGCATTTTCTCTCAATGAAAAAACAGGAAAAACTACTAATTATATATAGCTACTAATTTATAAACTAGGTAATAGTTATGTAAACTTCAATTTTAGTATCTTTCTAATAGAGTTGTACTTTGTTGCAATTTATTTAATTAAAATATTTGTATGTTTAAAGACTAATAGCGAGAGAGCAAGCATAAAAAGCATAATTACATCGTATATATAGAGAAAATGTTATTACTTGTTAATTAAAAATGCGAAAGTAACGGTTACGTTTTCACGGCTAAATCGCTGTACCGATTTTAATGAAATTAGGCAAATTGGAAAACTTTGAATTTGAGAAAGGACAGTGTGCGTTACCCCAGCAAAATATTGACGAAAATGGTCATTTAAATGTTATAGATAAATAGTTGCCCCGCTTCTGTAATTGTTATTAATTCTGCATAGATAAAATACTTGAAAATGTATGTATAAAAAAAACAACTTAAAACCTTGTAATTACTACGAATTATAGATACCGATATTAATAAATTATTTTATCCTGAACTTCTTATCTAAACTAATATTATAAAGAGGAAAGATTTATTTGTTTGTTACGATTTAATTCAAAAACTACTCGACCGATTTTAAAAATTCGTTCACCGTTAGAAAGCTACATCTTCACCGAGTGACATAGGCTATATTTATTTACAAAAATAACGAACATATCAATATCTATAAAAAAGTCCGTGATAGCATATGCCTATCTCCGACGAATAACTCACAATAACAACTTTTACTATTAAAATTTTAGATAAAAAAGAATGATTTTTTTGCGAAGCTTATTTAACCGATATGGTATTAATTTATATCTAAATAAATATGTTTGTTAGAATGTAAATTTAATATAGAATATTTGTTTCTCTCTCTTTATATACTTTAAACGAATATCTTAGAAGATATCGCAATTTTAAAATATTTGCGTGACAAAATAATTACGCGCGCGGCAGTCATTCGGTCCGGCCGTTGGCCGTCGCGTGGAAACGTAGGTACGTGGGGATTCTGGCCTCCGAGAAATTCAAATTCATACTATTTATTGCACCATGATGTTTACATACATACATGTTGGTGTACAAGGTCTTATTGTATATTTAATAGTAAGAGATACCTATAGTAATCCTCACTTTAATATAATCTGAACTAATAATATTATAAAGAGGAAAGACAGCTTTGTTTGTTACGATTTAATTCAAAAACTACTCAACCAATTTTAAGAAATCTTTCAGCATTATAAAGCTATATCTTCACCGAGTAATATGTAACTCCCTACTTAGCCTATGGGATATATTATATTTCAATTAGGCTATATTATATTTTATAATAGTTACGTAACAATTAGCCTTTGTTTAAATTATTAAGTTCAAATACGGGTGGAATCAGAATCAAATAGTGGTGATATTAGTATCATGATATCCTTATCCATTTAAATGGTTTGATAATTAAGGTTGATTATGTACATGTAAATTTCACTTTATTATTCGAATTATGACGAGTGGAGTTATTCATTTTGAAGTTATGACGGATAAAAAAAGTCTAATTAAGAAAAAAATCACGGTTTAAACAAACTGTTCTACGTGTAGTCTGTTATTAACAAATACGTAGGCATAGACTTACGAAAAACTGTTTTACTCACAGCCAACTATGTTGGCTTATCGCGAGTTTGAGCTCCCGAAAAACAATATATTTTATTACCCCACAATAATATAACATCAAATGTCGTTTACAAAGAAGCTCTAAATAATTAAATATTAATCCTTCTTATGGAATCACACCCGTGCGAAGCCGGGGCGGGCTGCTAGTGCAATTATATAAGTAACTAGCTGTACCCTATCGCGCTTAGCTGCGGCACATTGTGGTTGTATAAAATGGATGAAAACCATTTTTGAAGCGTTGTATATCGTGTCAAAATTTGAGCTCAATCGGTCCAGAACTTTTTGAGTTTTTGAAGCGTACACAAAGCGTACCAACATAATTTTTATTTATATGTAGATTAGATACACATTACACAAATAATTTTAACATGATTTAAAAACACTTTTAGGGCTGACCTTGCAGAGGAAGTTATAAAAGAAACACTAAGAACGTGGCCAGATGATCGCGTCGCTTTGGCTCACTTGGGTTTCATCCTTAAAACTCAACACAACCGTAATGAGGAAGCAGTTGAAGCCTTTCAAAAGGCTCTCGAAGGAGATCTCGGACCGGCTACGGAGTCGCGTTTCTATTACCATTTAGGAGACTCGCTCCTATTATTAAATAGATTCACAGAGGCCCACGAGGTTCATAAGAGAGGTGCAAAATTAGGACATTTCTTGTCCCCTTCCCAACGTTCGCTCTACAATGTTCATCGTCTAAAAAGTCGACCATGGTGGGACATAGAACAGACACCCTACTTGAAATTAGCACGTGCTTTAGAAAAATCTTGGGAGGATATTTTAAAGGAGGGTCAAGCTGCGCAAGCTCTGTATGAAAAAGAAAAAGAAGGACTGAAGGAACGAGGCGAGTGGTCTCAGCTAGACTTGTTTGTTCGGGGGCAAGAAGTGCCCGGCAGGTGTAAAAAAGCGCCGGTTACTTGCAGTATAGTCCGCGCAGAGAAGGCTGCGGCTGGATGTCGCCGTGGACAGATCAAGTTCAGCGCCATGGAGGCCGGCACACACGTACGACCACATGTCGGTCCCACCAATTGTCGACTACGAATGCATTTAGGTCTCAGCAATACCAAAGATACTTACATAAGAGTCGACCAAGAAACAAGGTAACTATAGACTAAATAATTTAATTTGTTACTTCACTGATTGCTTCCTAACTCTACAATCGATTTAAAATAAATTATTACATGGCCGAAAAGTTTGATTTTAATCATCAATCAATAAGGTATTATTTTGATCGTAGACAATGGCAAGTCGGCAAGGTCTTCATGTTCGACGATAGCTTCGAACACGAGGTGTGGCACAACGGGACAGGCACTAGACTTGTGCTTATAGTGGACGTGTGGCACCCCGCTCTATCGGCCGACGAGCGACGCGAACTACCACCGATATAACCCTCGCTCCGCCGCTCTTGGCGCGTGCTGTATGTTTATACCTAGATTATCTAAGAACTTTAATATCGCATCACATTATGAGTAAAATTAAAAGTTAAAGAATTTTTTTTTTAAATAAAACTTAAGATAACTCTGGACTCAATCGTGGGTATTCAGTATATCATTCATTATCATTACCACAATAAGAGCAGATAGTCACAATGTATCATTTCTTTTATACATGTCGTTTACGTGTTTTTTGTAATGTTTTTTAGTGGATTTACTGTTGTTAAATTTAAAAATGTCATTGTATAGTTCAACACCGAAAAATTGATAAATGTTAGGCCTATGACTAGCTCTAAGTGTATAATTAGGGCATCGAGCCCGGGTTTACCCGGACCGAAAAAAACCGGGTTTTCCCGGTTCTGAGGATTATAAAAAAACCCGGGTTTGATTTTTAAAACTCGGGTTTTTCGGGTTTGTTTTAATACTTTTGTTTTTGTTATTTATTTAGTTTAAGCCACTTCGAAGGCAATAATAAGTAAATGGAATAAAAACACGCTTTGATGAATTATTATTTATTACGTAAAAAGTAGCTTCATTGCTACGTTCCTACCAATAAAACAAGCCATGCAAGTTAAATGGAACGCGCGCGTCTATCTCAGGACATGAATGGGGTAAACTGTGGCGCAGTGGAGAGGGGAGGGTGAAGCGAAGCTCTTCGCGCGTTGCGCGGGTGATGAATACCTCCGCCATTTTGTTTAGTCAGTCTGCCATAAGTATTCGACGCGACAGCGCGGGCGGCGTGAACGTGAGGAGTGTACGCGCTCTTTATACGTGAGTATCTACTAAATTAATTTTGTTATTCAATAAAACGTAACTTACAGTTTTAGCTTGTTGTTCTAGGATTCTAATGTAACTAATCCAATTATTTGATATATTGACGTGATTTCGTCCGCCACTCGTCGCGCTATTTTTAGGTGTATTTGAACTTTTTTTTGGTATTTTAATGTAATACTAGCGCTAACTAACCATGAATAGGTACGGCCGCGCAGCCTGCACGCATTACATCGTGAAAAAATAGGATTGCTATTATTATAATAAAACTAAGTTTCCTTTCAGATGAATCTCTTTCGTTGACCATAAATCAATAAGATATGGATTTTGGAGTAGTAACTACTAAGGAAGGAAACAAAACATCTGTTTGGCACTATTTTCTCATAAACAAAAACAAAAATGAAGCTAAATGTAAAACATGCCAAAAAGTATTGAAATCACCCGGTGGTAGTACTAGCAGTCTACGAAGGCATTTAAAGAATATTCACGCGGTTGATATAGAGGCTGCAAGGCATTCAACAATCGCAACAACAGCTCAAGGTAGTGCATCTTCTTCAAAAGAAATTCCCGAAGCGCCTAAAAAGAAAACTAAGTTGACACACTATTATGAGACTGATGCAAACCCAAGTATGCAGGTTATGGTGTCCCGTATGGCTGCAGTTGATGGAATTCCTCTTAGAACGTTCTCAAAATCTCAAGATTTAAAGTACCTTTTTGAAAAGACCGGCAACAAATTACCCACTACTGCTGATACCGTTCGCAACATAATTCTCAAAGACTTCGATAAAAGGAAGCTACAAATAATCAACGAGATAAAAATTATACTGTCAGATGAAAAGAAGTTTTCGATATCATTCGATGAATGGACATCCATTAAAAATAGAAGATATATAGGGCTCACTTTACATTCACCAAATTTTGCAAGGGATAGCAGTTTTCGAAATCTAGGTCTCATACGCATTCACGGGTCCATGAATGCAGCCTCATGCGTAAAATTGATTGAGGTCAAGTTGGACGAATATGGGGTATCTCTAACAAATGACATCGTCGCTCAAACCACAGACGGTTGCAGCCCAATGGTTGCATTAGGGAAGTCCCTTAAGTCATGCCATCAGCTATGCATCGCTCATGCCGTTCAGCTGGCAATTGTGGACGTAATGTACAAACGAAATGCCGGCTTCGAGGAAAACGTCGCTCAGCTTGCCGAACTTGACGATGATGAAGATTTGCCTTTATCGGTATTGGCTCAAAGACTACGAACTGTAGAATTTAACGACGACACGAATTCTACAGACAATGACGAGGATGGTGTTGAATTTAATAATTCACAGTCTTTTAAATACAATGATCTGCTATCAAAAGTACGAAAAGTGGTAAAAATCTTCAAGAACTCTCCGACAAAAAATGATGACATCCTTCAAAAACATGTCAGAGCTGATTTTGGACAGGAGTACTCCCTGCTGTTAGATGAATAAACGCGCTGGAGTAGCATTTCTGCCATGTTAGGTCGGTTTCTGAAATTGAAAATATCTATTACAAAAGCTTTAATTGATTTAAAAACAGACATTGCATTTACTGATGATGACTGGAGAAATATAGATGAGATCCATAAAATATTGGATGTTATTAAAACTGTCGTCGAGGCGCTATGTCGACGCGATGCAACATTACTTACAGCTGATGTTTCCCTAAAATTTGCATTGAAGAAAATGGATGAAATGAAGACACCACTAAGTAACAAAATGGCAACTGCATTGAGCAAACGATACGCAAAAAGAAGACTAACTCAAGCAGCAACACTACAGTACTTGACTAATCCGGGTAAATATTTTGAGAACATTCAAAATGAAGATAAAACTGTTTTTTATCGGCCTACAGGTGATGAAATGCTAAACGAAATTGTTAATCTGATTAAACGCACAACCAAAACACAAAATATACCTCTTGAAAATTTGCCAGCGCCAGACCAAGACCTGCGAGAAATTGACATTCAGTTGTCTACTTTGACATATGAAGAGGAACTGAACAGACAGTTAAGTCAAGCTGTTGCTACTGATAATACTGCTCCTGAAACTGGATCAGCTTGTCCATCAAACGATTTGCTTACTACTGTGAGGGTAGAAATGGCACTCTTCGAGAATGGCGGTACGCGACAGCGAGGGCGTTACCTATCGCTGGTATATGAACATTTAAAAACTATTCCACCTACTAGCGTCGAGCCGGAGCGTATATTTTCTTCGGCTGGAATTGTCTGCAATAGATTGCGTTCGTCTTTGAGTGACAAAACTTTGGATGCTCTAATTTTTTTACGTTCATTTTACATTAGTAAGAAGAAATTCTAATAATTCAGTTCTGATTTCTGTTATCTTTATGTTACGTTACGATATATCCAAAATGGTATTAGTTATTATTTTATATGAATATCTCTTTTTTTCTAAAGTGGTCATATGATCATATGGTCATGTGTTAACTATGTTGTTTAAATAATGTGTCAAATGCATAACTACTTTTTACTTAGTAATTTGCTTAATTAGATAAAGAACTGATTATTAACCAAAGGACTGCAATTTAAATTATATTAGAATAGTAGAATAGAAGACTAGAACTATTCGTTACTTAATTGTTAATGCGAAGAAGAGTTTTATTAGTGTTAAAATTATTTGTGATACTACAAAAATGTCTTTTGAAGAAATTATTTTTATTAGCTTTTAAATACAATAAGTGAATGTTACCAAATTAATTCATTTAATGTTAAAACTAATCTCTGCGAGTCTGTGATTTAAAAAAGACTAGATTACTTACTAAGTTTTAAGATATTCTGAAGAAAAAATAAATGTTTATCACTCTTTTAAATATTAAAACTGATTTTTTAATTTGTAAAGTACTGTTTCATTTATTTAAATTCTTCCTCATCCTTTATATTTTGTACTCATTGTAGGAATCGATATATAAACGCAGATTAGTGTATTTAAAAAAAATTACAATAAAAAGATCGAAATGCTCGAAAAACCCGGTCTTGACCGGGTTTTGATTACTCTTAGACCCGAAAACCCGGGTTTTCAAAATTGAACCGAGTTTCGATGCCCTATGTATAATCAATATTAAATTCAAATACTTTGTGATATACATGTATTTTACATTGTTAAGATTTATTATAAGAATACAATTCCAATGCTCAATGGTTGAAGGTTTTATTTGTCATTCTAGAGATTATGCATTTTTAACAATATTAAATAAAAATGCGATTTTATGTAAGTAGGTGTATATTTGGTATAAAAATTACCATTACCTGGTGGAAGTAAAACCTATTGATTACTTCCTTAACCTAATAAAGCTCGTTTTAATCTAAAGTACAACTATGTAAAAAAAAATGGTCCCTTAATATTAGAGTATGTACACCATCATCCTCACAGTAACATTTATAACAAACTTATTATTAAGTTATATAAATATCTAAATAAACTGGATCATATTTGGACGGAAATGTTTAACAGATTTTTCATAAAAGAATTCTTAGTGCGTAACTAAATGCTAAGCCACGACTTCAAAGTGGTATGTGGCAAAACCTAATTATAAACGGAGCTTATTGCGGCATAGCCGGGGCCAACATTTTTAGTAGTGGTTACAATGTGGTCACTGACAAAACATTCCTGGCAGGCCACTTTTTCATGTTATGTTCTAAATTATAATGTAAGTACTAACTTTTAAACTTTCGCGTTCCATGATAATTAATATTATTTAACGGGAATTAACGTCAGGCAAACCAGAGGTATGTAATACCCTAAATAAGAGATCGCGTTAATTCCCGTTAAATAACATTAATTATAATGTAAGTAATTAAAAAGATTATTTTCGACATACACAACTTTTCCGATACAGAAAAATTTAAATGTACCTTCAGAAAAATAAAATTATTAGCGCGCATGGTCAATGTTGTACTAATTAGTTGTTATTTATCAATTGGATACGATCGACAATTTTTTCTAAAGAAGTAGCTGCATATGGCATATTAAAATTATAAATTAAATTCAAAAAGAGACGGAATCACATTAAGTACCAGGAAACCTGTGCGAGCCTGCAGAATCAGCTAATTAGCTGTCAGTTTTCTTACAACTTAAACTTATATCTCTATTGTAAGTCAGAAAACGACTGCTTAGCAACACCATTAAATGACCATTCATGTAATCCTCCTCCTCCTCCATCCTGCTCCTATATACCTAACTAATTCTATATTTAACCCCTATGAAAGAATGGTTGGAAATTCTATATTTAACCCTTTATACACATTTTGAATTTGAATTGAACTTGGACTTCTGTTTCTGCTGGCTCTACCTTCTATAACATTGCACACTTAAAAATAAGAGATAACTGACAGATAAATAATGCAACTACTTCAAACTACAGTGATGCTATAGTTACAATTATTGTCCAAATATGTATAAGACATCATTTAAAAGATTCTATCGAAACGAACTCATGCGCCCCCGCGCTATCTTTTTTATGTCACAATTAGAAGTCGAAATAAGGCACGCATAAAATCAAATCGTGTTTGGTTTCATACATATTTCAGTGTTATTTTTTTCATACATTATAACTAAGTTTTAACTTAAATCTTATTCTGTTCCACTCTAAGTGATCGTATAAATGCTGCAAAGGATTGAATCCAACCTGTTTGTTATTGAATGTCATATTTTACTAACCTAATCTTGCCAATAACAAATGTGGATTCTGCGATTTCAATTAAAGCTAATTTCTTTTTAAAACAATAACAATGACTTAATTAATCTTCCTTAAGTACCCAATTAATAGAGATATACAATTTTATGTCAAAACTTAAGGTTAAATAGTAATTCGTATAAAATCACATTTATAACACAATCCTATTGGTAGATGGCAATTTATGTAAATTAATTCATAACAGAAACATATCGTTGTCTTAGATTTGAAGCTTACCGCTATAAAAAATAGGTGGTACACTAAGGTGAGACGTGGTAGTGGTCGTTGGCGGGCTGATAGGCGGGCGGGCCGGGCGCTTGCGGCGTGGCGCGCGCGCTGTAGGGCGGCGCGGGCGGCGGCGGCGCCTGCCACGCGCTGTCTGCGTACGCTCCGCCGTACACGTACGAAGGAGATTCACACGGAGTTACATTGTCCACCCTGCTATCGTAATTCGGCGTAGTCTCATAACCGCGCTCGAAGTTGTCGTATGAAGGAATGTTCTGTTCGTATTTTCTGGGTGGGTTCGGTTCGTTGTAAGGTCCGACTACATCGTAACCTGATGATTTAATACTATTTCGCCCTAATGTATTATACCTATTATAAGTTACTATAGGAACGGATTCGGCGGGTGGCGGTGGATCGTACGTGTCTTGTACGCTCGAAATGTTTTCTCTTTCTGGCGGATGATACGATGCTGGTCGTGCGGCGTGGAAATTAGAGTACGACGAGTGCGCCGATGTCGGACGAGGTACTCGGGACTCTCGAGGTAAAGAAGCGTTTGATGATAGATAACCAGCGTTTCTATAAGATCGTCTCGATCGGCGAACAGAGGAGTTGTTACCTCGTGAACCAGAACGTCTTTTAACACGTCGAGGTGTCATTGGTTTCATCGATGTTTCGTTTATATTTGTTTCGGTTTGGCTCAGTTCTATTGTGTAAACAGGGCGTCGTGATAAAGTGCCTTTATCTGCAATGGTAAAAAAATTCTGTCTTATTTTGTGACTTATTTTATTTAAACATGAAAAGAAAAAAACAATTATACCTTTAGATGGTTTTTGCTTTTTAAATGACCTAAAGGCTAATACTATCGACAGAGGTAAGGCTGTAGCCGCCAGAGTGGCAGCTAATGTGGACTGTCCCAATTCAACATGCTGCCATTGCATGAAGCAACCTTCAACTCTTGAGGGCCTCCAGGTGCCAGGTCCATCTACCTCATCCCAAACAGGTTGACAGCCCCAACCATTGCCTTCCCACCAACTTACACTGTCTGTTCCCAATGATAACAAACCACTATCCTAAAGATAAAACAAACATTGTACAATACTTAAATTGGTTAATTTCATAATATAACAAACTAATTAAGTATGAAGGACTATTAATGCAAAATTATCTTGACCACTTACATAATTTTATCTGAGGTTCATATTACACACCTACTTATGTGAGAAAATTTAAGACTTCCACAGAATGTAATTCATCATGAGTACTGAATTGACCTTCTATTTTACTTTAAACTTGACTTGGACACATGGTTAACATAAGAGGTTTGGCTTGAGGAAGACTGCCAAGACTGTCATCCAAGAAATAAAGGCCAAAACCATTTTACAATGAAATGAATGACTTCGTGAAAGAAGATATGGCCAAAAATAGAGTAAACAGTGATCTGTACAGTGATAGAGGAGAATGAAAAACTAAATCTCATTTTGCGGACTCTAAATAAATTTGAGCAAAGAAGGTGATTATACACTCACCCTGTTTAAAGACCCCAGGTTTAAGTAATAACAAATCAGAAATGCATTCCACACCAACCAGACAAAACTCCATATTGCATACTGTAACAAAAAAAAAAGGTTTAAACTAAAACCAATTTATGGTTCACCTCTCTCCCTTTTTAATTTACTCTTTTATAACCTTTTGCAGCATTTAAGAAGAAATGTAAAAATCTGCATTACCAGGTATCTGTTATTTGTATAGGAATTGTTTCAAGTTTTCTTTCTCTTGGCAGTGTTGTTGTCCTGTAGTTTGACACTCCATGTTCTTAATCTGTCACCACACAGACATTTCAATCTAATTGTTTTTAATAAACATTTTATTTTTCCTATTAGCACAGTAATCATATTTAGACTTATTTACATGTATGTAACAGGCACAATTAAATTTAATAATGAAGTAGGTCATCTAATACAACCAAGGGTTAGTACATGTAGGCTAGATACTTACCGCTAATAGATACTTTGATATGTACTGAACTGCTCCAAACGATCCAAATATTATCAAAATAATATTAGTAAAATTAGCAATGATGGGAAGCCACATGTAACCCAGGAAATCAAATACTTGTCTTTGTATAGTTATAATCTGAAACAACATTGAAGTTTACCATCATAAGCATAAATCAAGAACTCCAGAGTTCATTAAGAAACAGTGTCCTCTGAATACAAAAAGTACCTAAGTAATTTGCAGAGGTCACCAAGAAGACCAACAAAGAATTCAATTTTAAAATCTCAATTTAAATTTGTAATCATACCATGATAGACAATGTGTCGAGGTGACAATAATGTACTTAATTTTTAATTAATAAAACAGGTGTTAATCATACCAGTTCTAAAATGCAGACAATCAACAATATCGTCCTCAGTCCACATACAGCCATTTCAGTAGATATTAAATTAATGCTGTGCCTTTTCCTTGATAATCATAAAGTACACAAATACATGTTAGTTAATCACAAATATCAAAATCACAGTATAAATAATAACTACAAAACATGACATGTCGTAATATTACTTCGTACGTAGGTACAAAAAGTTTCAAAGTTTTCGTTTTAGTGATGTGATCATCGTTTATCGTTCCTTACAACCAGGGTTGCTAGACGAATTAAAAAAAAAACTGTGTTGCCAAGCTGAAGAAATCAAGGCCTAGTAAACAAAAGAAACGATTAAGCTATTGAAAAAGAAATCATTACCATCAGAAAGCCAATACTAATACTGCGCACGTTCATAGGTCAAGTCAAATAGTGAGCGCATCCCCGGCTTCCTGTCACACACTTCTTTCACCATAAAAATCACTCCCACGGATAGCAGGATAGCGAAAACCAAAATGTTACGACTTACGTCTTAAAAAACGGGAGTGAACAGTAAAATTTTAATTTCAAAACACACTACAGACTGATACATAATTAGTTTTAGTTAAATGTTTATTAAATTTTACCTCTTTTGTGTTCATTAGTAATAAACCTGTCAAAACTCATTCCACCTTCAACTACTACTGTCTCTCGAAAATAGCTCTTAGCAATGAGGCGGCCTTTTTTACACGCTTTATATTAGCTTCACTTGTATGTTTGTTTGTAACCGACTCCTTTGACTGACCTGACGACTGACTTTAAACGGTCAGAATTCGTTCAAACTTTGTAGATATATTGAGGACCGATGACAATACAAAGTTCTTTTTTACAAGTTTTTTAAAACTATTCTTTTTTTAATTACATTACATTTCTGATATTTTTATGTACCATACTACTTGTAAAACGGTGCACAAAAAAAATTATCTATCTATCTAATATACTTTCTTTTTTTTCGCCTTATTTCAATTTTTTTCAAAAATGCAATCAGCTGTTAAAGGTAAAGGTCATTTTACGTAAATATAGCACAAAAGTAATAACTACGTCCGTATTCCGTGCAAACAGTCTACGCACACTAACACAAGTTGGCAGCCAGAGGCGAGGCCCCGCGCGCTTCGTCTGTTTGATTAATTACATTGCAGTTTTTGACCATATGCGGTATTTATTAATTAGTTTTCGGTAAAGTGTTCTGTTTACTCATTGTGATATCATTTTTAACCAAAAAAAAATGGAAAACTATAAAAAAATTGATTAATTTTCGACTCAGAATGATGGGCTGAATACACTGTTTCAGTATTCGTTACGATGTCCCTTACACCCTTAATATCCTGTATTGAGGCAAACATTGCAAACATTTATGAAACGAACACAAAGAACACTTAGACTCAGAACAAGAATTTTTGGATCACACAAAGTGTCGTCCTATGTTCAAAACTCAGCGTAGTAGTAAGCGGCGTGGCCACGCTTGAAGAACCAATGTATTTAATTCTGAATTCTAATTATATAATGTATTTGTGTATCCATTTTCGACAAGATTAACAACAAAATGTAAAAGAAAGTCTAATAACAAAACAATAACAAGATTAACAACAAAATGTAACAGGAAATACTGATAACAAAACAATAACAAGATTAACAACAAAATGTAACAGGAAATACTGATAACAATAGGAATGCGTCGTCATTGTGACGTAGGTTTTATGTACGTACATACGTTTTATGTGTGTTTGTAAAGTCCCCCGCGACACAGGATATATTCCTTATGTGGGTTCCTAGTTGTCTTTATATTAAAAAAAATATTACTAATTGTTCGTAGCCGTTGTCGTAGCGTAGTAGTATAATTCATTCAAACAATATTGAATTTATTTTAGGCTCAGTATAATAATACTAACTAACTTAATCTATGTTATTTTTTACAAATAAAAATAGCATAGGCAAAATCGCGTGCGCAAGTTTGTAATGCTATCTTTTGTGCACTCTGCTGCTGTCTGTACAAACGCGTGTCGTGTCTGTGACGTCCCCGCTTTCAGATCTCAACTTATCGCGCATGAACTCGTGCATGACTCATGATTCTAATCAAAACAAGAGGGCTGGCAACCTTGCAGCCCACCAAATTTTAACAAAAATAGTCGATTCTTAAAACCTCAAACCTAGTTACATCAATCTGTTGCTTTGTTTTTAAGTTACATATTATTGCCTGCAAATTAGGGAGTTTCAGTGTGAATAGTACTACTATTCACACTGAAACTCATTCTTGAATCTTATCAGGGATAAAATCAGAGCTTAGTAGCTCAATGAAATGAAATGTTGATGTAATATTTTACAATTATATGACAATTTAAAGAAGGATAACAGCGGTAATGGTTGTTATACAAAACAAAAGATCAAAAATTGCGATATGAAAATAAAATTGTTATATTTGTCGAAGTACCGATAATTCAGTACCGCCTGATAAAGCCAAACCATATAAGGTACAACCGCAATGCTGTGAGATTAAGGTCACACCCAAACAATTCTGAAGTTTTCAGCATTCATGGTGCCCACAGTTTCTTACTTGAATCATAAGAAAATGTTTACTACAAGTTATTATAAATATGTAGCATACAATAATTTCAAATCAAACTAGCAGAGCTTGATTGCTTAACAGACAGTTGTGTTTCTTCTACTTCTCTAGCGTTAAACTAAGAGCATGTACAAAATGAAACCATTGGTGTTTTTACTTCTTTTAAATTAAAAATCACTTATTTAACAAGTTTTCCAAAAAAATATTATGAGAATAGTTTGATTTGGAATGGATAATCATTAGCTGTGTAACCAAATTTTTAGATGCTTTTAATTTATACTAAAATATCTAACAAAACCATTGAAATTAATGGGTTACAAATTAAAAAAAATCCAATGAAATAAATGTAATACCAGACAGGCCAGCAAGTCCAAAACTACTGTGTAAGTTGTGCAACATAACACTGTTTTGTTCTACTACGCAGTAAATGTCCAAATATCATGAGAACTATATTTTTATTGATATTAACCTTAAAATAAACATTTATCGTATTGCTAACGACACAGGTTAAAAACGTAATATAAATGACTTATTATTATTAAATTATTAGTATAGAAAAAATCCCAACTGTGCACACTTGGTACACAGTTAATAACGTGATGTGTCGCCACTTACAACGGATTTACTTTATAATATTAGCCTCCAACATTTTATTTCTTTGGGGAGATTTCCGGTTAAATTATGGCAATGCATTTCTCAGAATTCACAGCCGCCTGGTAACACTGATTGTATTGATCGGGTTTACTCATCATAATTTGATTTAAATTTTTAGACTATCCTCATAGGTTCCATTAGGTCCCTATCGGCAGATAGTTCAGTCGTAATTTATTATACAGTGAAAACCTGCGGTTCGTAAGTACTTTGATTATTTTTAGTTTACTAGTAATCATTTTGGTTTACAAAATAACACCGGTAACCTTAAAATGTTTCAAATTCCAGAAGGAACTAACAATGGCGACTGATGCTTTAATTCCATTAGAATCAAACCCAGAAGTTATGAATAAATTCTTACAGAAGTTGGGTGTGCCTACTCAATGGGGTGTAGTTGATGTCATGGGCTTAGAACCGGAGATGCTTTCGTGGGTTCCTCGTCCTGTCCTTGCCGTAATGTTATTATTCCCCGTTTCTGATGCATACGAAGCTCACAAACAGAAGGAAGAAGATGATATTTTGTCGAAAGGACAAGTTCTTTCGAATGATGTTTTCTATATGAAGCAAAATATTAGTAATGCCTGCGGAACTATTGCCCTTGTGCACAGTGTTGCAAACAACACAGATAAGATAGGGTTGTCCAATGGCCACCTCAAAACATTTCTTGAGGAAGCAAAACCTTTGGATGCTGTCTCTAGAGGAAAACTGCTAGAAAAGTCTGAGGGCATCATTAATGCCCACAAGGAATTAGCTCAGGAAGGGCAAACTAATACTCCAAGTGCTGAAGAACCTGTCAATCATCACTTTATTACATTTGTGCATAGCAATGGTGTTCTCTATGAATTAGATGGCCGTAAAGCTTTTCCCATTAATCATGGACCTACTACTACTGATACTTTGTTGGAAGATTCTGCTAAAATCTGCAAGGAATTCATGGCTCGTGACCCCAATGAAGTCCGCTTTACAATTGTTGCACTGACTGCTCAAGATTAGTGCAACAACATTTACCATATATTGAGCATACCAGTAGTGAGCCCGCTACAATAAATATCAAACACTGCTTATTTCAAGCTTCTAAGTAATTTCATATTTGATACGAAAAGGTGCAATGCAAGCTTATGTGATACTTAATATAACATATTTATTTTGAAATTGTATTTTATTATCGATTTTTACAGAGGCCTATTGAAAACAAGTATCTACTACTAGCAGTAATCAGTATCAGTGTTAATTTTACTATTCATCATCATCATCATCATCAACAGCCTTTAATAGTCCACTGCTGCACATAGGCCTCTCCTTAGAAATTAGGTTTATTTTACTATTAATATGTAAAAACAATATTCTTTATGCTTTTTAGCAAGGTTTCCAAATGCAAGGATCTAAAATGTTGAATTGTTTAAGTAAAGGTAAAATGTAAAATCAATATGTGTTAAAAGTTTTGAATATAGGTATGTGAAAAACACCTACAAAAATAGGTTGTGGATTTAGAGTGTATGTATATAACCTGGCATAGTACATTATGTAAATTATATAAACTATGACAGTTATAGTTATTATACACTTAAACACTTACATAAACCAACTTGATATTTTTGTATTCATACAGATCATTAGTTAAGTAAAATTATACTTTTTTTAATGTTAATGTTTATACAAACTAATTTTCATTAAACTTGTTAGCTCATGTAGTCGCGGCCCCGCGGAGACATGGAAATTAGGAAGAGTGGTGGTATATGTATACCTTCATTTTTTAAATTATTAATACCTGTGTCAAACATCGAAATAAATTTCGAGAACCAAAAATATAGTGTGCGTTACCCCAGCAAAATAATGTCGAAAATGGTCATTTAAACTTTATAGATAATTAGTTGCTCCCCTTCTGTAATTGTTAGGCACATTTTTAAATTTGTTTCACTTAAACTTTTTTAGTTATTTCAAAAAAACATTTCCTGCTGGGAAAAAAACGTTTGAAATGTTACCGCAGCCAGACATTTTCTTTTTTAATTGTAATATTGAAATAAATTTTAGCTAAATAATTAGTTATCTGGACTAGGTAAATGTTACAACTTATTTGGTATTTGTATTTTCTTCGGCTGCGAAGTTATTCGAAATCCTGCTGGAGTAACGTTTGTGGGTTTGCTGGATCGCTGAAACGGGTAAGTGGATTGTAACCATCTTTTGTACATAACTTCTTAAGGATTAGTTTTAATTTGTTCGACAATAAAATAACAAAAATAATGAACCGTTTAAAAATTATTTAGGTAAGTATGAAAACACTTCAATACGTCCTAACACTTTAAATAAGACCTCTAAAGACTTACTTGAAACGCTATTCTATTGCTTGTAACTACCTTCAAATGTATACGAATTTTCGTAAGAATACTGTAAGTGACGTGTGCGTTACCCCAGCAAAATAATGTCGAAAATGGTCATTTAAACTTTATAGATAATTAGTTGCTCCCCTTCTGTAATTGTTAAGCACATTTTTAAATTTGTTTCATTTAAACTTTTTTAGTTATTTCAAAAAAACATTTCCTGCTGGAGTAACGTTTGAAACGTTACCGCAGCCAGACATTTTCTTTTTTAATTGTAATATTGAAATAAATTTTAGCTAAATAATTAGTTATCTGGACTAGGTAAATGTTACAACTTATTTGGTATTTGTATTTTCTTCGGTTGCGAAGTTATTCGAAATCCTGCTGGAGTAACGTTTGTGGGTTTGCTGGATCTCTGAAACGGGTAAGCGGATTGTAACCATCTTTTGTACATAACTTCTTAAGGATTAGTTTTAATTTGTTCGATAATAAAATAACAAAAATAATGGACCGTTTAAAAATTATTTAGGTAAGTATGAAAACACTTCAATACGTCCTAACACTTTAAATAAGACCTCTAAAGACTTACTTGAAACGTTATTCTATTGCTTGTAACTACCTTCAAATGTATACGAATTTTCGTAAGAATACTGTAAGTGACTAAAAAGTTATGATGAAATGTAGCTCTCCACGTTCACGATCACAATGTGTGCGGCCTTTTTTGGCCACCGATAAACCTGTGTGTGGATATATAAACTGAATGGTATGCCTATAATTAGTTGTTTAGTTCAGTTGTCTACCTGTAAAATTTCAGCGTAGTACATATAATAATTTACGAGATAATTAAATAAAAGTCATTAGAAGGTGCAAGACCGTGGTAACCCGACCATGTTTAGGTGGTTACAAAAAAGCGATCACCCAGTACATTGCGCTGTCTTTTAAAATGTTTAGTGTAATATAACTAGCGGCACGTAAGTCTAGCGCTGAGCGGAACGTGGAAGGGATAGCCGCGCATGGGTACTATCGCGCACGCAAATATTAACTTTAGTAAATAGTTAATGTTATAGAGTGTAATTTCTGAAAGTTGTTCACGTGCCAGAGTCGTCAAATTTGAATTTCTTTATTTTCTCAACAATAGGTACAAAAAGTAAGTAAGTAATCATACTATATAACATTATAAATGTGAATGTAAGTTTGTTTGTTACGCTTTCACGTGAAAACTACTTAACCGATCATCATGAAACTTTGCACACATATTCTTGGAGGTTTTAGAAGTAACATATGATACTTTTTATTAAAATAATATTTTTTACGAAAGATAAAACTGCGAGCGAAGCCGCGGGTAAAGGCTATAAGAATATATACAGACAGTTATTGTGCTTGTAGGAGATGGGAGCCTGCACTGGGTTGAACCAGTATTATTGGTCTCCATGTGTATTAACATTTAAATCTTAAGTAGTAGTAATAAACGTGTATGGTAAAAAAAAAATGTACTTTGTTTGTGCGTGTGCGTGGTGTGCGTGCGTATGTATGCGTGAGTGTATGTGTATGTCATTATTATAGTTTATAGTTCCAATATCCAAAAAAATTATGTTACCCAGGATTTTTAACAAGTTTATAGGAAGTAGAAAAATTAAAACAGAATTTGTTGAACTATAATTATATGCAATTCACTTTGTGAAAGTTTTCAACTTAGCAGTTTATTATCTAAACAATGATGCTTGATTTGTCGCATTAAATACCACAACGCAGTCCTTTCCCTACCACAACATACGACTGTAACGTTAAATAATTTTAAAACGCTTTTTTTATGTCTACTGTTCCCAGCTGCAACCTGCATTGTCTTTAAATGAGTATTGTATTTATTGCAACAAAAATTAACAGCGACAACAATATAACTCAGAACGCGACTGTACTCTGGAAGCACGCGGCGTGTCGTATCAGTGCGGGGGACGTAATGCGACTGGAGAGCCAATCGGCGCTACGCACGCCCGCCCTTCGTCCCTCTTACCCCAAAAAGTACCTGATTTTTGACTTCTGCGCAGTAACTGTCACCGCTAGAGTTTCGTGCCGCTACATAAACACCTTACGATTTCGGTACAGTTGCGTACAGTGTTAAATACATTCAATATTTATTCTTTTTTTTTTTCTTTTTTTTTTTTTTTTCCAAATGACCATTTTCGACATTATTTTGCTGGGGTAACGCACACCGGTATGGTGTGCGTTACCCCAGCAAAATAATGTCGAAAATGGTCATTTAAACTTTATAGATAATTAGTTGCTCCCCTTCTGTAATTGTTAAGCACATTTTTAAATTTGTTTCATTTAAACTTTTTTAGTTATTTCAAAAAACATTTCCTGCTGGAGTAACGTTTGAAACGTTACCGCAGCCAGACATTTTCTTTTTTAATTGTAATATTGAAATAATTTTTAGCTAAATAATTAGTTATCTGGACTAGGTAAATGTTACAACTTATTTGGTATTTGTATTTTCTTCGGCTGCGAAGTTATTCGAAATCCTGCTTTAGTAACGTTTGTGGGTTTGCTGGATCTCTGAAACAGGTAAGCGGATTGTAACCATCTTTTGTACATAACTTCTTAAGGATTAGTTTTAATTTGTTCGACAATAAAATAACAAAAATAATGGACCGTTTAAAAATTATTTAGGTAAGTATGAAAACACTTCAATACGTCCTAACACTTTAAATAAGACCTCTAAAGACTTACTTGAAACGTTATTCTATTGTTTGTAACTACCTTCAAATGTATACGAATTTTCGTAGGAATACTGTAAGTGACTAAAAAGTTATGATGAAATGTAGCTCTCCACGTTCACGATCACAATGTGTGCGGCCTTTTTTGGCCACCGATAAACCTGTGTTTGGATATATAAACTGAATGTTATGCCAATAATATCACCCTGCTCTTTTAATTAATTTGAACTCCGCGGAGTACACACGTTTGATTCCTGCGTCGTACACCCGGTATACTTATGAGAAGGGTGATTTTATTTCGATAAATAGAGAATTGGCGGCTGTGGATTGGGATACCGTGTTTATGAATATGACGCTCGACGAATGTGTGACCTATTTTTATAATACGTTAGCTTATATTCAAAATAAATATGTTCCTAGCAAGAATATATATTATAATTCTTATCCGATTTGGTACTCCTCTTCACTTAAACGACTAATAAAAGAAAAATCGAAATACCTACGTAGATTTAAGATATATGGCAGACTTTCTGACCAGGCTACGTTTAGGCTTTTACGTGATAGGGTGAAGAAACTTGAGGCTGACTGCTACTCTAATTACCTAGCTGCCACTGAAGAATCTATTGAAAGGAATCCTAAGTATTTTTGGAGTTTTGTAAAGCAACGCTCTAAATCTAATTCAATACCTAGTTACTTTAATTATGGTGGCGTATCGATCTCATCTGCTGATGAAATATGCAATGCGTTCTCTTCACATTTCCATTCCACTTTCATTGATCCAGTTAGTGATACTGCTATGAATACCTGTACTGCAAGTACATCATACACATCTTGTGATATTAATTCAATTGAAATTAATTTGGAGTATATTACTAAAATTCTGAGTGGCCTTGACCCATTGAAGTCAGCCGGCCCTGATTACCTATCACCTAAATTTATAATAAAATGTGCTAAAACTGTA